GGAATGCCAAACTGCTAGCTCTAATGTCCCCTTAAACCATGCAAAAACTAACAGGAAAGGCAAAAATAGACACACTATGTTCTGTTACTTGGTGTCCACTTTGGAAGGAAAAATGCTGTCTTAAGATGAAGGGGATAATTATCTCCAGTGTCAGGCACTGATCTGTGCTCAGTAGCTGAAATTTCAGCCTTGTAAGACTGAATACCCATCCTGTGGGAACAAAGCTGGATTAATAACTTAATTTATATAGATTGGAATCAAAGCCTAGAGGAGGAAGGACCTTTGAACTCCCAAGCTGAGATGGACCTGAAAAAGTAATGCTAGTTTTCGTAATCCTTTGGCTTCTCATCACCCAGTGCTGAGGACAGATGCACACCTGTATCATGCTCTGCCCTCACACTTCACTCTTTCACCTCGTGAGTGAGTCGAGGGAGAAGAAAATGCCACAGGAAGGTTTGCATCCAAGCCAGCAAAATGCTTCATGAAAGCCAGTAATCCTTCACGGGGATGAGGTGGCTCTCATATAAAGCGTGTCCACTAGATGGATTCCACTCTTGTTCACTGAAAAGCTCTGCTCATTTTAGGCTCCTTTGAATGAAACATTTTTATTCAGTGTTCACTCATGTTACTGTCTTTCTGTGTAGCTGTTCTGTCCAGTTAAGACTGGATAACAAAACAAAACAAAACCTCACAAAACAAATCCTATCTGACAAATCGCTAGGAAAAGGATTTTGGTAAACTATTTTTTACAGAGAAAAATGTGCATGAAATATTTTGGGGTGTATTTGCCTAAAGCTTTGTTTTAATAGGAATAAATTCAGTGAACTCTTGATTTGTTGCTGATTCAGAATAAACAGTATCAAAAGCCCTTCTCACACTTTCATCTCAGAGAACTTTCTCCTTTTCAGAAACAACCAGCAAGAGAGAGATGACAACAATTCACATGGAGGGTATGTCCTCATCTCTGTGATTCTTTTAAGTATATTAAATCAAGATAAATTTATATTCAGAAAAAATAATATAAGTATTTGGATGTTACAGATTCCTTTCTGAGAAGCAAAGACAAGTTTTAGCAAGATAAAATAGGAAAGGTAGAGAAAAAGCCTAATAAACTAAAACACCATTTTTGTGACAAGCTTTTAGATGGTTGCAGAGGGAAATATCAGCCAAATTCCTCCTTTTTTTTTTTTGTTCCGAGAAATTGAGAAATAATTTAAGAACAAACACATTAAAAGCAACTTCAGAATATGTTCAGATTGATCCTTTTCTATCTGCATGCACATTGAAGGCCCTGCTTCAACAAGGTTCCCAGCTGAGTGCCAGGATTTAAACAACAAAGTTTTCTGTTTGAAGTTTAATTCTTATCTTCATACCTTTACTATAGGCCACATATTTAAGTACCTGCTGAAATGGGAATGCAAAGAATGCTAATTGCTAACCTATTTCTCTTGCTTAGGTTGAACTTCTTTATAACAGAAGCTGAGGGATTTTTTAATTACTATTATACTGTGTGTTGCTGAGTAGAATTTAGTATCAGCAGGGAATAAATATTAAGGCAGGATTTTAATAATTTTACTGCAATTATCAATGATTAGGTTTGTATTTGCTGTATTTATATCATATAATAACTGTACAAAAAAGCACAACAGTTGTAATATTTAGAAATAAGTTCCATTCTGATGATTCTGATCTCATTATGCCAAGATGCTGGCTAACAGGCATCCTAAGGCATGACTCTCTGGAGTAAGAATGCTTTTATTTTTGCAGAGTTCCCTCATCACAGGACTGACAAAATAGAGGCTGCAACTGCATCCATGGAAGAAGGTTTGCAACTTAGGTGCAAGCAGCACTGTTTTCAACTCCTGAAATCTGAATGAATCAACTACAAAAATAATCTGTTCCCTTTCTGCTCTTCTAAAAGCACTGATACAGAAGTAGATACAATATTTTGGGGGTTGAATTCCAGGTTGAATGAGATGGTGCAATTTTTCAATTTCTGCATGCAATGTGCTTAACAAATGTTTATGGTAAGTTTCCCAGGGGCGGAGACAAAACCTGTTTTCACCTAAACAGACCTTTTTTTTCCCCTGGGAACACAGGCTGCAGCAGGTGAGGCATTAGGCAGAGATGTTCTGTGTGGCTGCCAACCACTGGACCCAGAGCCAAATGTGTATTTTTTGACTATAAAGAGATGTTTAAATACACAAGCTCAAGCAGTAGCATGGGGAGACACTGAGCATGATTTGTTGCAAGTGAGACAGCATTTTGGTTGTTTATTTACTTGCAACATAGAGATCCATGTTGATGTCCCTCACACTCTCATGCCTCCTGGATGAGTTTCTAAACCATGATACCAAGTGGTTGTTCTGACAGTCTTCATTATTTCCTGCTCCAGTCAGTGGTTAACTTCACTCAGAAATGGATGCTTTCCAAATCTCATTGCTGCAGTATGAGAAAAACATTCTCTTCCTGCCTGCATGCTGTGCACTACATGGGCAGAAATCATCCAAAGCCCTGAGGGCTCTGGGAGGCCACACCTCGTAAGTGAAGGCCAAGTTACACAGCAGTGAAATAGAGAAGGAAGGAGACCAGTCTTGGACCATGCCTTGGTCCAGTTTAGCTGCTGCATTCTTGTGCTGTGGCCCTGTCACAGGCAAAGCCACACACAGAGACCTCGTGTCTGCCAAGCACACAGGCAACGTGCACTGGATGGGCACAACCAAGGCACTGCTCAGCTCACAGAAACCCTGGAGTTATTTTGTAGGAGTAGGGAGAGGTGGAAAGTTGCACTTTTTCAGAACTTAAAACCTGATTGCAAGCTGTAATGTGCTCCTCTGTATTCCTCAAAGCCAGCCATTGTCCTAAGTGTGACTCTGGAATAATGAAAAATCAAGTGGATTTTTTTTTTTCTCCTTTCTTTTCTTGGTGTTTGTTTTTCCTTCTTCTTCTTTTTTGTTTGTTTGTTTGTTTTTTTGTGGGTGATTTTTTAAAGAAACAATGCTTCAAATTATACAAGTTTTTTGGGTTTTGGTTTATTAGTTTGTTTGTTTAAATTTTTTTAAAATGCCTGATGAATAGGGACGTCCATACAAAAAGGTTTTATGCCAAGTGTAAGTGCTGACTCTTCCTTTATCTCAACTGTATTAACAAGATGTTTTTTTTTTACCAAATATTTCCTGTTCTAGCCTAACAACAGCTCCAGTCTTGGTTCATGTTTTTCTAGCTGCTTCTGGGAGACTTGGTAATAGAAAACTGAGAGCTGAAGGAGCAAGTGCAGCTGTATTTGCACATCTCTGGCAACCTGTTACTTCCTGACAAAAACCCGTTACTTGTGCTCTCTAAAGAGGGAAAGCTCCTCATAAGGCTCAAGAAACTGCCAAGGGATAAAAACCTGTATCAGGAATTTTAGACAGCCAAAAATGTATCACAGATAACAGATCTAGTCAGACATTGAAGGAAATACCTGGAGAACCATTTACACTTAACTAGCTGTCTCCTCATTAAGCCCAGGAGAACATCACCACTGACAACTGTGGGAACTGTATGAGGTCAAAGTTAAGCACTAACCAGTAAGCTGTTCAAAGGAAAAGACATTCCTCCCCACATCAGAACATCCCAACAACAGACAAAAAGGTGCAGAAATTATTTTTTAAATAATATCTATTTCTAATTTATCAGAATGTCGCTGATGATAAATAAGTTTATCAGGTAAAGAAATAAATGAGAGGTTAGGGAAGTATTTGGGCTTGTGGCAGCCCATCCATACTTGATTTCCAATGCTGGTAAAAATGAGTTATTCATGAGGAATATGGCATTAGGTTTTAGACCTAACTCTCTTTACTGTATTTATCTGCCAAATGCATTTAATACTGAATTTGTCACTTCTGTGATACTTATGCTGCTTGTTAGTGGAAAGAACATCATTTGTACACATCAATGAGATGGTTTTATCAGTATCACTTTGTCTACAACAATCAATGCATCACAGAGAAAAATGGGTGAATCTCAATATGTGAAATTCCAGGGTCCTCCTGCTTTGCTATAGAAAGCTCTTCTCAGCAGCTTGACTTTTCATAAAATCTGTGCTGGCAAATTGCTTTCTGAGTTTATATTTTCTGTCTTCAACAGTGATTTCTTTTGAGCCCAATGAAATGGTTCTGGGGACTTCCAAAGCCACAGGTAAGGCTCTGATTATACTTTTGTTGATGAACCAGACAGTCCTGGCTTCAGCTGAAAATGGATTTTGGTTTATGAAACTGCAGACAAAAATCTGCAGCTCAGGATTTCTGCATAATACCTTTAGTTTTTCTGCTGAGTTGCACATCCTTCAGCAAACCACTTTGTTTCTCCTAATTATCCTGTTTATGAAACCAGGCTAACAGTGATGTTCAGTTAAGTTTTACAATGTTTTCAGTAAAAGGCACTCCAGAAATGCATTGCAGAAATAGAGCAGGGAGGTCATTACCATGCTGCCTTGCTGCCTCTGGTTTTTGTTCAGTTACCACAAGGGACTACAGAGGCACAGCTCCTGCTCCCTCCATTCCTTCGATAAAAGCTCAGTGACTCCCATCTCTCCTTTTTGCTTGACTGAGTCAGCAACACTTCATCTAAAAGCATCACAGTTAAAAATCCACACATGGTGGTAACAAGGCTGCTGGAGAATAACATTTAGGTCAGGGTCAGATGATAGCAAATCCACAAACAGTAAAACCAGACTGAGAAGTATGAGCTGTTCTTTGCCTACAGCAACTCATTTGCACTCCCCATGCAAGCATTTGTGGAAACCTCTTCACAGAAGGTTTTGTGATGGTTGGTCCTTTAAACTAAAATTCATAGCACCTGCTGCCAGAAGGGTTCACTTCAATTTTGCTTTCTCCTTTATTATATAGAATGTCACGAATCTCTTTCCCAGTCTAAAACCTACTTTAGATGTCACTTCTTTGAGCATAGCCACACTACAGCTAGAGGTGGAACACCTTGGTAGACTTGGAATTTTTCTATGGACCCTTTTTTATAGAAAGGATTGTTTGGGCAGACTGAAATGCACCAGAAAATACGTCAAGGAACACTAAATATGGAGAACAGAAAGTAATAATTTTTCAACTCTGATTACAGTCTGGACAGCAGCCATGCCTCCACCCCAACACAGAAACATGACATTGCTGTACTAAACACTGGTCCAATGTTGTCCTCCTTTACTTTGGATGTATCAGAACATCTGTGTGTTCTGCATGGCTTCTGGAAGATTATTTATAGTATCTATTCTTAGCTAAATGCAGAATTTCCCAAACTCCAGTTTTATTTTTTTACTTCTAGCAGGATTGGCTTTCACTTCAAAACACCACCTTCAAACAAAGTGACATAAAACATGCTCCTTGCTGAGCAATTAAAATTGGTGTGTTGCTATTGATCCTTTCTGCAGCCTTTCATGGGCTTCCTTGAATTCTTAGCTCTTCCATTTTTTAATTTATCTCTGCATCCTATGACAGATCATTTTCAATACCTAACAAAAACAGAACTGCAGAGGGACAAATTTAATGAATCTGAGTTTAATCCAATTAATATGCTCAGCAAATGTATTTAATAGGAAAGGTTTTAAAAATGTGGCAACACATGTTCACCACTATTTTCAAAGTGTTTAGTTTGTGAAATGCCATAATCCTCATATTGACATTTAGAAAACACAACAGTTGATTTCCATTTGATTGTAGTATTTTAATTGACAAGGCAGCTTATAAAAAAGTGAAAGTTTAAAAAAAAAAAGTCAAGTAATCCCCAAATTAAAGAATTCCTGGTCAATAACAAAGTTTCAGATAACCTAAAAATAAATACCATTTGAATTTTTAGGATAAAGAATCTCCTTAAAATTAAGTTTGTATTAATACTCAAATTATATTACCTTAATATTTGCTTGTGGCTACACTGAAGTAAATCCTTCAGTTCCCCAGTCTCTGCATCAGTCAAATAATGTTCTACCTTCACCAATGTTATTGTCAGTGGACACTTTTAAAAAAAAATAAATCTCATCTGCACTTTTTCCCTCCATATGGCTGACTAATCAGCAACCCATATGATTTTCAGCAATTCGCACAGCTCTTTACCTCAGTTTATCACATATAACATTTTAGAAAAAAACCCCAAGCCAGTAGTTATACTGGTCCTAATTAACCAGAATATTGGTCTCTAGAAAGCAAGAAATGTGAAGGAATGATCAGTGTGGGAACTCTTTGCTTTCCCAATCTCCATTTTGGTTTGTTGTTGTTTGTTTTTTTTCTCTACGATCATCATTTCACACAAGTTCTGCCTGAAGATGTTACTCTGACATGCTATCTGAAATTAAAATCTTGCTGTTTATTGCTTCATCTCATCTTCTGGTAACCTTGTTCTGCTTATTCAGAAAAAGACAAACTTATGGAAGCTGTGGTCCCATTGCAAAAGAGAACCACCTCCCCAGCCTCCTTCCTGGGAGATACTAACTCAAAGCAAGTCAAAATTATCCCCACTGAGAAGACTCCTGCAGGCACATCTGCAAGGACAAAGGAAAAAGGCAAGTACAAACTTAATTATACCTATTAACTGGTAGCCCTCCCCTGTTGCTGTCCACAGCTGAGGATTCAGCACTTCTCATTGATACGTAGAATAACACAGTTTTCTCTCTAAATCTGGGTAGAATACAAGGTGCACAACACTAGCTGCACTGAAAGGGCAGTTCACTGTCAAACACTGGCCAGGAAACTGTAACTAACCATTACTGAACAGTCTTGCAACTATGAATTAAACAAATGTTAGAAGACTGCCAGGTGATTATGGTTCAGAAGATGCACTTTTGGACACATTAGTGAAAGAAGAGTTCATTCTACCTTTGCAAATCTAATCTGTGCATATGTCATCCCAGAGACAAGCCCTGCAAGGGGTGGACAGAGCACAGCTTCCTCTGGAATAGCTCTGGAACTGGTGCTGTCTGACACAGGACCCCATGGACCTGCAGGAAAAGGTAAATGAAGCCTATTTTCCTAGTTGTATTTAATGAAATATTCAGCTACCTCTATACTAAAAAGTAAGTCTATATTACATACAAAGATTGCAGTTATTCTAAGCCATTTAGACAGGAAGATATATATTGGTATTTGTAAGAACAGGAGGTGGAGTCATCTGCAAATTGTTTAACCAACAGTTTAACCTCTTCCACCCCTGTGCTGTCACTAACACTTACAAAAACTATTTATGATTAGGTTATAAGCACATTTCTCATATAGCAAAAGATCTAAAATTAGCTCAGTGAATGCTTCCCATTGCTTTTGTTTTTAGGCAGAAGTTTAATCACATCTTTGAGTTACTTTATTTTATAACTACCAGAAGCAATAAAAGGATCTTCTCCTGCTTGTCACTGACATCTTGCCAAAGTTTTGCCAGTCAGCCTTTTTTCTCACCATTTCTGATTCTGTTCCAACTCCTGCCCAGAGTTCACAGAGATCCCAAGAGATTTCAGACCTATCACTGATGCAAATTCACACTCATGGCCTGTCCCATCCATCTTGTTAGGCTTCCCACCAGAAAGAAGCAGTCCTGGAGCTGGAACAGAGCAGACATTAAGAATCAACCCAGCCTTCCACCAAACTGGAAAATTTGATAGAACATATCAGCTTTTAGAGTGTCCATGTCCATGTATGAACCTGTGGCTCATTCTTGGTGCATTAACATGACAGATCAAAGACCCAAGCAGGCACATGGGTGGAATCCCTGGATTGTAGAATGACATATTGGAAGGGACCTCAGGGTCCATCTGGTCCAACCTTGCTAGGTAAAAACATGGTTTAGATGAGAGAAATATGGTTTAGATGAGAAAATTAGTCAGTCTAGAGCTGCAGAAGGGAAGATTGGATTATTCATGGGACCAAGGAGGATGCACAGGGAACAGCAGCCTGCCCTCTCTCTCCCCCAATCCAACCACCAGCCCCTTCAAGTTCTTTCCCTGGAAAAGTCCCAAAAAAGACCCCTTGAAATTGTTTTTCTTGACATAAAACACACTCTTCTCTCAGACTTTAGGGATAATTCCCACAATATCAGTTCCTCCTGAGGGAGTGAAGCCACAGAGGCATGAAGATCAGGCCTTGGAAATGCCAAGACCTCAGCAGAACAATAACCATTACCACAGATGGCACCTGCATTTGGGATAAAGGCATCATAGCTCTAATCAAATTGCAGTTAAATGTGAATGTGATAATCCAAGGTGGTCTTCCCTGGTTTGTAATATCAGGAAACAACGCTCTTTGAAGTGAAAATCCAGAATCTTGCCTTTGAGAAAGCAACGCCCTCGCTGATTGTTCTTTGACAGCAGTCAGACTTTATCAGAATAATTTTTGAGAGCAGTCCATGAAGGAATCACGTACATCTTAGTCCCAGGACACGTTTCATGCTAGGTGGAAGGTATTTCAAATGAAAAAAATAATTGTTTCTTTCAGCATAGCATAATCATTGCTCAGCTGTCCCTGGGTGAGCACGAGAGGTTAGGACTCTGTCTTCTGAATTAGCCAGGACAGGAGCTACTGAATTCTGTACTATCTAGAAGAAAAAAAAAAACAAACTATGAAAGATTACAAAGGATTGCAAAGTATACTCAACGCAATCCAATTTGATTTGTAATTTGAATCTTTATCAGGATACCCTTTAGATATTTCCCTCCCCCCTCCCCCTTCTGCTGTCTTGCTTAGCAGTATTCTAACAGTCACAGCTCATGGGCTGGAGCAGTGATTTAGAAATAGTAAAATGTCGTATTTAAAGGTTTCTGATTGTTCTGAAAATACTTCTGTCATCTCAAGAGAGCCCCCCAACCAGTGAAAACATGATGTACCAAATAAGATGTTTTGCTTTACAGTATGTGAGCGATTAACCTTTCTGCAAGAGGGAGGAAATGGAAGAGGGAAGAAGGAGCTGCCCCAGCTAGGAGAAATGCTGTTCTGTCTAACTGAGAGATGCCCAGAGGAATTTGAGTCTTATGGTTGCTACTGTGGCCAAGAAGGAAGAGGTTATCCTACTGATGCACTGGACAGGTGTGGGCTCATCTATAACCTGCCATTACCTGTGGGTATTACTGGGGTGCCTGTGGGCCAGCAAAGATCAGCATGACTTCTGGTGGGCCTCGGATTGCTACAATAGTCAATACAATCAATAGCCCACACTTTGGAAAAAAATATATCCATTTAAATGCAAAAAACATTAAATACTCTAATGTCACTTAGAGATATTCTATTATTGCATCAATGTTTTGGATAGGACTTACTAATTCAATTAAAATAAGAAAGGAGAACAATGGGAAATAAGCAGAGCAGAAGGAAGAATATATCCAAAGAGATGAAGACAAGGCTTGCCATGAAACTTGGCTAAGACATGGTTTGGAAAGTGATTTATGCCTTACATCTTTGCCACTCTGTCCTTCAGAAGAGAGTGCAGCACTGCCTGAGCTGCAGGCAACAGCCCTGCCATGGCCAACTGTGTGTCACCACAGAATGGCTGATGGGAATTCTGGAGTAATGCAGAGAATACAACCAAAGTAAAGAAATCTACTTTGAACTGTTGTGTTTATAAATGAAAATCTCTGCTGTCTGGAAGTTCACAAGAGTTGGGACTGCATCAAGTCTAAGTGTAACACCTAATACTCACCAAGTACATGAGATGAAGGCCTGTCAAAGCTCTGGCTGTCAATATAATGTTTTCAGATTTTAATCCAACAATATTTGAACATTTGAAGATATTTCTTATAGAGTATTAGGTCATAGTTACAATTGCAATTATATGTTTTAGAAATAAACCTAAAACCAGCAAAAATTGACAGCATTGTTAAGCAAATTATACGAAAGGAGTAAGAAGGAAGTTGTGAAAATAGGAACAGGTATAGGCAGAGCAGGTAAAGGTTTGGGTTTTGTCAGTTTTTTTTTAATTCTTCCTTATTAGAAAAGGTTTTTCTAATATATGAAAACCAAAATTTCTCCGTTTCAATAAGAATGGAAAATAAAGAGATAAAATAATTTTGAGTACTCTGTGATGCAGGAAGACAAAGTATTTTTAAGTTATGTCTACTGTTTATTTCAGGTGCTGCTTCTCTCATCACTGTTGTATGGAACAAGTTAAGAAACTTGGATGTCATGCTGAAAGAAGTTCAAGATCTGAAGTCCTATGTTTCGATCATAAGCCAAAATGTAAGTTTGGGTTAGAGGAAATGTCCTGATGATGGTGCATGAAAGCACTACAGGCTGAAAGCCAACACACCTGTGAGCTGCTAAGTATGGAGACAGAAAAAATTGGCTTACAAATACTAGTAATGCTTAACTCTAAACCAAACTTTCTAGCTAGATGAGGTGAAGGTTATTACACATAAACCACTGTGTATGATATGAGCAGGTCAGGATGAGAGTATTATTCAGATATTTTACAACTGGAGACAGAAGTCAGTTGCTGGTGTCTTTACATTCACAAATTCACCTAAAGCCAGTCAGATCATCAGCTGCCCAGCACCCTGGGGTCAGGCTTATATTTAGATGACTAAAGGTGAACTTGAAGACTAAAATTCAAGGCAGATTTTAAAATTTTCTTTTCAAAAGCTTATCTACCCATGTCAAATTACACATTGACTATTTCTAACTGCTTTCAGCCATTAATCCTCAACCTTCATTTTTAAGGTATCGGTTGGAGCGTGTGTGAGAAACTCCTGTGTGCTTGTGCCAAGACAGCAGCCGAGTGCATGGCTTCTGCCTTCTTCAATGAAAGCCTGAAGTTTCCACACAGGCGGGAGTGCCAAGGGGAGAAACTATTATGTCAAAGAGACCCTTATGAGAAGCCTTCAGCTGGCACAGATATAGACACAGGGACTTCCAGCTCTGAGGAGAGCAGTGAGGAGGAAGGACCACTGAGGAGTGTATTAAGAAGAGGGAAGAGAGAGATGCATCTTCCCATTGGAAACTCCAGAGGTGCAGCATGAAGGCAAATCACCAACCACCACCACGTGCTTGAAAAACGACACAGAGCCTTTCCCAGTCAGACACTGCATAACTTACTCTTTCTTAGCACTCTACATGTTTCTAGCACTTTCCAGCACTCAAAACCATAGACTAGGCATTAAATGTTAGGTTGGGTAACACCTCACTGTAGTGAAGTTGGCACTACAGACCATTTGATTAGGTCAGATGTTACCTTAAATAATTATTTCACAGTGTTCTGTAAAATTGTATTTGATCTCTATGTAAAAACTGTTCTGATCAAAGACTGATTTTTGATCACTGTGTAGTTAGTTCAGACTGGATATTGCTGATGGTGGCTGAGTCTTTCAGGTTTTTAATTAAACCAATCTGCAACTACTCCAACTCCTCTTGCAGACATTTGTCCTTTACTGAGTGTAGCAGCAAACATGCAGAAGAAGCCCTAAGTAATTACATGAAAATGAGTTCCTTCTTCCCTTCCTGTCTAATTGCAGTTTTCAACCCATCAATCAGGTCATGTCAGGGAAAGTCACCTTCCTTGCCCCAGAGCTGTGTGCTCTGCACTGTTATCTCTAGTTTTGCACGTTTTCCAGGGAGTCTTGTCTGGGCTGCCACATCAATTCCAGTGAGTGCCAAGAAAACAGCTTTCTGCTGGTGGATACCATAGCTAAGCTCCTTCTGGGAGGGTGATGACCACCAACAGAACTGACCTCTTGAGCTGGCAGGGTGACAAAGTCCTTCCTGCGGGCCCTTCTGCACAAGCTGCTAATGCATGGTGCCCTGTTTGCCTGCTCTGTTGGCAGTGATCCCCAGGCTGATTTTTATGGATATGGGGTGGATGCAGTAGCTTTGGTGATGCCCAGGCCTCATCAGTGTCTTGAGAGAGCTGCAGGCTCCTGGTTGGTCTCTCTGCTGCTTTGGCATTTCCCTGGCTTAAAATAAAACCCTTGTACATCAAGATTTGTTGCTCCACTGAGGACCAGGCTGGCTCTCTAAGTTCAGAGAGGCATATTTGATGGATGGACTGTTTGGTGGATGAGGAATCACTTGGGTGGTGGGCTCAACATTCCGAGGGTGATCAGTGATAAGTGATGTTCCTCAGGGTCCATGTTTGGACCAGTACTGTTTAATAGCTTAATCAATGACAGTGGGATCAAGTGCACCCTCAGAAAGCTTACAGAAGACACCAAGTTGAGTGGTGTGGTTGACACACCTGAGGGACAGGATGTAACCCAGAGAGACCTGAACAAGCTTGGGAAGTGGGTCCATCTGAATCTCATAAGATTCAACAAGGCCATGTGCAAGGTCTTGCACCTGGGTCAGGGCAATCCCTAGCATCAATACAGGCTGGGGGATAAAGAGATTGAGAGCAGCCCTGTGGAGAGGGACTTGAGTGTACTGGTGAATGAAAAGCTGGGCATGAGCTGGCAATGCGGGCTCACAGCCCAGAAAGCCAACCATACCATGGGCTGCATCAAAAGAAATAAGGCCAACAAGTTGAAGGAGGTGATTCTGTCCTTCTACTCTGCTCTTGTGAGACCCCACCTGGAGTACTGTGTCCAGTTCTGGGGTTCTCAGCACAGGAAAGACATGGACCTGTTGGAGAGCATCCAGATGAGGGCCAGGAAGATGATCCAAGGGCTGGAGCACCTCTCCTGGGAAGACAGGCTGAGAAAGTTGGGGTTGTCCAGCCTGGAGAAGAGAAGGCTCTGAGGAAACCTCATAGCAACCCTTCACTACTTTATGGGGGCTGATATGAAAGATGGGGACTGACTTTTTAATAGGGGCTATTGCGATAGAACAAGGGGTGATGGTTTTAAACTAAAAGGGGAGATTCAGACTGGATATTAGGAAGAATTTTTTAATTATGAGGGTGGTGAAACATGGGAACAACTTGCCCTGATAAGTGGTAGGTGCCCCATCCATGGAAACATTCCAGGTCAGGTTGGACAGGGCTCTGAGTAACCTGATCTAGTTGCAGGGAGGTTGGACTAGAAGACTTTTAAAGGTCCCTTCCACCCCAAGTGATTTTATGATTCACTAACACGTATTTGAACAAAAAACATTGCAACAAACTTTACAGAGAGCACCAAAAGGTCTGGATTTCTTCTTTATAATCGTGTTCTACAGGGTTGAATTTTGTCACAAAAGTATTTCTTACAGATCAATGAATGTATATTAATTCTGAATCACAGAATTGTCAGAGTTGAAAGGAACCTCTAGAGATCATCTAGTCCAACTCCCCTGCTAAAGCAGGATCCCCTGGAACACATTCCACAGGACTGCATCCAGGCTGGTTTAGAATATCTCCAAAGATGGAGACTCCACAGTCTCACTGGGCAGCCTGTCCCAGTGCTTTGTCACCCTCACTGTAAAGATATTTTCCCTCATATTTAAATGGAACTTCCTTTGTTCCAGCTTGTGCCCATTGCTCCTCAGATACCTCAGACATCAGACAGACATACAAGTTTTATTAATAATCCCATATTTCACTGTGCTCAAAGGAATCCATCACTGCAAACAGTGCAATAATTCTGCAACAAGGATCCCAGGTGCTGATTCTGGACACAGAAACACTACCCATGTTCTTCCAGATCATGAAGCAGTTAATGAAATCATATAATTCCATCTCCTTCTGCAAACTGAACATTGTGAGAACAACAGGTCAAAGCACCCGTGAATGTTCTCAGATGAACAGTGAATATTTTATAAACCTCTGGCTGGTGGTATTCCCTGAGCTTGGCAAGAGATGTTAAGAATAACAAGAAGGGCTTCTACAAGTACCTAAACCAGAAAAGGAAGGTTAAAGAAAGCGTAACCCCTGATGAGCCACAATGGTGAAATGGCAACAACAGATGAGGAGAAGGCTGAGGTTCTCAACAATTTTTTGCCTCAGTCTTCACTAGCAGCCCCTCTCCTCACAACTCTCATGTTGATGGCCCACAAGATGCAGACCAGAGAGACAAAGTCCCCCGCACTGTAAGTGAAGATAAAGTTCATGACCATCTGAGGAACCTGAAGATATACAAGTCCATGGGACCTGATGAGATACATTCCAGAGTCCTGAAGGAATTGGCAAATGCAGTTGCCAAACCACTGTCTAAGATATTTGAGAAGTCATAGCAACCAGGTGAAGTCCCTGGTGATTAGAAGAAAGCACATGATGCTATGCCCATATTTTAAAAATGTAGAAAGGAGGAGCCTGGGAATTACCGACCTACCAGCCGCACCTCTGTGCCTGGGAAGATCATGGAACAGATCCTCCTAGAAAACATGCTAAAGTACATGGAGGACCAGGAGGTGATCCAGGACAGCCAGCACAGCTTTACCAAGGGCATATCTTGCCTGACCAACCCAGTAGCTTTCTACAAAGAAGTGACTACATCAGTCGACCAGGGAAAAGCAGTGGATGTCATCTATCTAGATTTCTGCAAGGCCTTTGACACAGTCCCCCACAACATCCTTCTCTTTAAATTGGAGAGATATGGGTTTGATGGGTGGACTGTTCATTGGATAAGGAACTGGCTGGATGGTGGTGTCCAGAGGGTAGTGGTCAACAGATCTAAGTCCGGATGGAAAACAGTGACAAGTGGTGTCCCTCAGAGGTCAGTGCTGGGCCCAGTGTTGTTTAATATCTTCATTAACGATATTGACAGAGGCACTGAGAGCACCCTCAGCAAGTTTGGTGCTGGCACCAAGCTGGGTGGTGCGGTCGATATGCCAGAGGGACGGGATGCCATCTAGAGGGACGTGGACAAGCTAGAGAAGTGGACCCAGGTGAACCTCAAGAGGTTCAACAATGCCAAGTGCAGAGTCCTGAACCTGGGCCAAGGTAACCCAAGATATGAATACAGGCTGGGGGAGGTCACACTTGAGAGCAGCCCCGTGGAAAAGGACCTGGGGGTACTAGTGGATCAAAAGCTGGACATGAGCCACCAACATGCAGTTGCACCCCAGAAAACCAACTACATCCTGGGCTGTATTAAAAGAACTGTGGCCAGCAGATCAAGAGAGGTGATTCTGCCCCTCTACTCTGCCCTGGTGAGACCTCACCTAGAATACTGTGTCCAGCTTTGGTGATCCCAGCACAAGATGTGGACCTGTTGGAACGTGTCCAGAGAAGGGCCACAAAAATGATCCAAGGGCTGGAGCACCTCTCTGATGAGGACAGGCTGAGGGAGTTGGGGCTGTTCAGCCTGAAGAAGAGAAGGCTCCAGGGGGACCTCATAATGGCCTTCCAATACCTGAAGGGGCTACAGGAAAGCTGGGGAGGGTCTTTTTACAGGGACTTACAGTGAGAGGATGAAGGGTAATGGTTTTGAACTGAAAGAAGAGAGTTTTAGGTTAGAGATCAGGCATAAATTCTTCAGTGGTGAGACACTGGAACAAGTTGCCCAGGGAGGCTGTGGATGCCCTGTCCCTGGAGGTGTTCAAGGCCAGGTTGGATGGGGCTTGGAGCAACCTGACCTAGTGGGAGGTGTCCCTGCCCATGCAGGGGAGTTGGAACCTGATGATCTTTAAGGTCCCTTCCAACTAAAAAAATTCTGTGATTCTCTCTTCCAGTTTCTTTCCTACACTAAAATTGCAAAGAATTAGAACAGTGCAGAAAAGAGATAAAAATACCAAAACCCCCCAGCAAAATAATAAACAAACCCAAGGTATTTAGCCACATGAATCCCACTGCCTGCAGTGGCTACACCATTAGCACTAGAGAATAAAATAGGAGCATGTAAAGACTATAAGAGACTTACTTCTGTAAGTGAAGGCAGAGCATAGCTAAATTGTGTGAGAAATTCTATCTGCAGACAAAATTTTAATTAGCTTTGATTCTCCCTCCCCTGCTCCCCCTTAATGCTGTACAGAAAGAGGGCATTTCAGTACTTAAGCAAAATGCTAAAAATATGCAAAACACCCATTTCTGTGCAGTGCTGAGGACAAGATCTGCATGAAGCTGTTTTGTTTACCTGTTTCAGAATCTTTTATTAACCTTTTATCAAAGTGATGAAAAACTATTCTATATTTCACAGCATTAATAAATAAAATTGAAAAAGGTCAGATAGCTAATTAGCTGAAATGGGAAACACTGGCCTTTAAACAAGTGAATTAATGCACTGCTGCTTAATAATAACACAAGCTCATTTCTCTGATTAAAGATGCAGTCCTGCTGCTCTGAAGTCTGCATTTAAAAAATACCCAAGATAAAAAAAAATAAAAAATCCCTTTCTGCCAATTATTAGAAACCAGTATTACCTTCCTGGCTATCCAAGTAACACATTCACTCAGAGATAGGCTGAATGTTCTGACTGCAGAAATCCAGATGGATCATTTGAATCAATCAAGTAAAAAAGAAACTACAAAATAAATAAGTTGTTATTCAGGCAATGTTGTAATTGTTTTCTTCAGGATTTTTTTCCTTCTTATTTCAGGAAGAATTTAACTCCAGAGTTGCTCTGTAGAGTAATTACTACCATATATATTATGCTGATAAAGAGAAGTCTTAAATAATCTAGTTATGATTAGCTAGATTTATTCACTCTCACAGATCAGTGCTAAAGTAATAAAACAATTATAAGCAGATCAAGATGAGACATTGAGCATAGCTGCTTTTTTTTTTTTTCTCATACTAACTTCACACTGTATTTTCCAAAGAATTGGGTCATAGTTGGCCAAAACCTAGTGGTTTCCCTAAAGTGAACAACTAATCTTCTAATTAGTAAACTAAAAAGATTTCCTACTTCATTAGATATCGATTCACTTATTTTAACTTTTTAAGCACTTATTCTTTGCCTGTAAGTTGATAAAAATGTAAAGATTTTGGAAAATGTTTTCATACACAACTTGACATAATTTAGGAAGACATGAACTCCTCTGAAATTCAGCACTGTTGAAGTGTAGTGGTCATCTTGATCACAGTATCATTACAACTGTTAGCAGCTAATGAGTTACTTCTTTCAAATAAAGGTAACACTGTGAAGTAGCAAAACCTTCCAGACAGGAAGTTCCCCAGTACCCAGAAAGTAGCTCTTAACAGATGACCTTTGTTTCACCTTGCGGCTGCAGCAGCAGCCACTTTTATCCCTTGTCCAGTCTCATGTAGGGTGACAGAATCTCTTACTCAACTCTACACCTTCTCTTTAGATATGATCAAATAATCTCTTAAACCTGGCTACTTCTTTTGCCCTGGGATGTTTTGAGGTACTCGTCATCAAAATCCTGCTCAGACCAGCCCGAGCAAGCAAAAAGGTCGATGACCACATGTATTAATAGCAGGTTCTGAGATCCATGCTCAGTCATAGATTGTACTGTACAAAGATGACGCTTACCCTCTAAAATTTCCTAAATACACACAAAGTTTTAACATCTGCAAAAACTGGGAACAGAGCAAAGGAGTAAAGGAAAAAGAGCAGAGAAAAAAAAATACAACTATAACCCTCTGTATATTAGGACATACCTTGTATGAGCTAGAAACGGTTCAAAATTCATCAAAATAGAAAAAAAGAATTGCTCTTCCTGCTAATCTCAGGGTTTACTGTGAAAACCATTTAAATAAATTAATGCACCCAAAAAACCCAGTAATAAACAACAGTATAATACTTAACCTCATCAGATGGCACTACTGCTTGAAAAACACTACCTGTGGGTTAGCTGTATAAAGATTTTCACACACAATGACAATGTCATTCCTTTAAATTGATACAACAAATACAATATGCTTTCGCAGCCAGGCAGGTAGGTCTGAAAAGTACAACTTACTTACCTTCCTGAAGCTTGTTTGCTATTAGGAAACAATTTTTGTATTGTTGTATTCTCAGCTTCTGGCAGTCTTGGCAATAGCAATGCTTTAATCACAATAAAACCCCCAGTAGTAGTTTAAAAATGCTGCAATGCTTTAAAGTTTTGGGGAAAAAAGTGTGTCAAATATTGTAGATGCCAAAAAATTAAGTCATCGACATTTTAACTGTGAGCAATAAAAATTAACTGACACTTTATAAAAGATTAATTTTAAATTTTGGTTTATTTTATTGCTTAAATATAGATTGCACAGTGTATCCTTACATTTATTGGAACTGGTTCATTACGTACAGTAACCAGAATATATGACCATCAGAACAACAGACACATAGTGCTATTCTCACTTGGAACAACAGGCTATTCCTATCTTTTTAAATTAACAAGGATTTAATTTATCTTAAAGTGACCCACTACCAAAACAATATATTTTTTTCAAAATGACAAAATGGGAAAGAGAACCCAAAACAAAAGCTGAAATATGTTTAAACAGCTGGATACCAATTTATAAACATTGTCACAGCACTCAATGTGTTGCAGATAACACAGGGCCAGTGGCCATAAGGAGCTTTGAAGTTCTGCAACTTGTCTCAAGAACATAAAGAGGTAAGGGAAACAGAGCAGCTTTATACTATACAACAGTATTCTTAATTAATTTGGTTTCTTTCATTAGCTACATATTACAACAGCTACCAGAACAATATGTTTTACAGTCACTCCCATAACCCAGCTGTCTAGAAAGGCCTGAGTGAACCAATTATCAACTTACAGACTCCCTGAATTTCCAGAAAGGAAGAAATTAAATATTATGTGAACATTCAAGCTCTTCATTCCCTGCACAATACCTGCACAACACTTGCGTTTGCCAAATGAAGTTCATTTCAACATTTCAAATGTGGAAACCCACCATTAGCATAAATGAAAAGTACTTCATAAACAGAACAGAAAATGAAATGCCGAGTCTAGGTATTTTCACATGCAGCATTCATGCAACAGAATCCAATCACAGAAACAATCCTGTATTTACAGCACAGTCTCCATACTGCAAGAGTGCAAACAGAAGTACATTCTTGATTTCTTAGACTCTGTATTTTATTTTTGTACAAAAGTGCACAGTGTTATTTTAAAAAAAAAAAGACAGAGTGGGTGTTTTACATTGTATCCTTAGGTTAGATTTACTGGTTTAAAAAAATTACACTCTTTATATAGGCCAAAAAACTATGATGTCTTACCTTAAAAAAAACAAATAGTGAAAACTAAAAGCTAGAGTCCTATTTATGTGTAGGCTGTGGTCTGATCAGGCTGATACGCTGCAGCAGTAAAAATCACAACGGAATGCTGTAGATAAGGGGCTGTTTCGTCATCCACTAACAGCTGTGATTGCACTGTTAAACTGAAAAGAAGGTCTCAATTACCTTTTGAGTTTTGAGAATGCTTTCTGAAAGTCTCAGCACGTTATCTCATAGGTTTAAGTAGCTGACATTTCTCTGTTGTTAAGTCACATCAGGCTTTTAAAAGTAGACCAGCGGATTACTGGTCTACCATCCAAAAATTTAAAATCCGTTTCACAGTCAATTTTCAAATGCTCAAAACACCAAATTAGCTGTCCTGATAACCACTCAGATCTTAATGCAATCATAGATTAATTTAGGTTGGGATTTCAAAAGGTCACCTAAACCAAGCTCCTGCTCAAAGCAGAGCTAAGTGAAGCTAGATCACTTTGTTCATGTCCTGATGACTGTCTAAACTGCTGGTTAACTTAAACACCTTATATTTATTACAGATATGTGAGAACATTCATTGATACTTCTGCTGCTTCAGTCAGATTCAGTGAGATTAAGGAACTCCAAATACTGTTCATTGCATCAACAAAAGCTGTTTCTAATTTTTGCCTGCAGAATTTAGTGAGTCATAAAGCCTTGACAATTATCATCAAAAGCTCAGTGATTTACAGTATCACTTTTACTTTATTTACATTTCAGTAGTATACTCAGATACATAAACCTATGAAATTTACCACATTTTTCTTCTTTCTAGAAAGGTTTCAGAAATGAAACAAAACAAACACAGAGATGCATCTCTAAAAATGCTTTTGCTTGAAAACACATGTAATGAATTCTTGGTCTTTAAATGGTTTCATCTAGTTTTCCTTCAATTTCTAAAATATCATTAAAAAGCAGTAATAAACTACAGAGAAATACCTCATAGAATATATCTGTAATTTCTGTACTTATTATTTAAAATGCCCTCAGTTTATTTTCTGCTATACTAAATATATCTCTCACGTATTTATACTAAAGCAGACAGTAAAATACTACTGCATTTTCTAAGGTACAGTCTGTAAACCATACACCTTAAGACATGAAAAATATTGCACAGTTCAGTGCTTCAAGAGGAGATTTCTCCTCTCTTACGCAAAGCAGATAACTTTTAGCAAGAAATGCAGGACATATACTGGGTGTATATATCTAAAAAGCATGTTATGTGATGCATGAGAAAATACTTAACAAGTGTCCATTCATTAATTTACTGTACTTGAACACATGTAAGGTATTGTTGGTTTTTTTTCCATATAATCCAGAATGAACAATCTGGCTACTTGTGATAGCATGAACAAAAGGGAGCCAAGGTAGTGCTCCACTGGTTACATTTTTTGAGATAAAGCAAGCCAAAAGCATTCTGATTAGACATATCATTGAGGTGGAGAGGAGAACACAACAACAACCACCTACTGAACAAACAAAAAAGCTTTAATAGGTCTTCAGTTACAATGTCTCAAATTAAAGGTATTTACAGATATAAAAATTCCTACTGTGACCGAAATATTCATTTATATGGCAAGGTAAGCTTTAAATCTGGCTTCTACATGCAATCAAACATGAAAATGAAGGAATATGACACACGGAAAACCTAATTTCACATATATTACAGAAGAAAACAACTCAGAACAGACTCATAATTTTGGCTAGAGTAATCTGTATTTGGCTCATATTCATCATTATTTAAAAGTTATTTTAGATGAAATAAACAATAAAATTTGAAAACTCATCTTGTTCTTTCTATTGTATTCTATTCTAAATAATGTCCAGCAGACTTCAGAAGACACTTAATACACACAAAGATCTGGAAACTTCATCTCATAGACTGGAACAGATTGGTAATGAGCATGTCCAGCAGTAATGGTCATCGTTCCTGAGGGGCTGGGTGGAGGGCTGTGTGAGAAGAACAATCAATATATAGGATTCATAATGACACAGATTGCTTTATTTTATATAACTTTTATACATTAATAGCTGAGAAAAAACAGTAAGCTACCCATCCTCAACCATCAGTATTTAATTCCTGAAATTCTAATTAAATTATCATGCTTCAGGTTTCTTTTGTACTGTGGTCTAAATCATCAGCTTCACTCATTTTACAAAACTATGAAAATTAAGTTTATTACTGACAAATACTATTTGTACTGCACAATAAATGTGCACAAAACTGTAATAATGTAATGCGTTTTTTTCACTGTTCAATATCTAATTACTTTTTCAAACAGATACATCAATGGGAAAACAACAACATTCTTCAGTACTACTGACAAACTTAGAAATAATATAAGAATAGAAGCATAGTATGACAACATTTCTGGGTACTCTCCACTCTTTAAAATATTCAAAATAATAACAAAAAAATCAAACTGATTGTTTTAAATGAAGACTGCTGTTTTTCAGTCTACTGGTTTTAGCTGGGATAGAGTTAATTTTCTTCATAGTAGCTTGTATGGGGCTATGCTTTTTATTTCTGCTGTAAACAGTGCTGATGACACAGGAATGTTTTCATTAGTGCTGAGCAGAGCTTACACAGCATCAAGGCCTTTTCGGGCTCAAACCAGGGCAGCTTCTCACCCCACCCCACCAGTGAGTAGGCTGGGGGTGTACAAGAAGCTGGGAAGGGACACAGCTAGGACAGCTGACCCCAAATGACCAAATGGATATTCCATACCATACGATGTCATGCTCAGCAGTAACAGCTTTAGGGAAGAAGGAGGAGGAAGGGGGGGACATTTGGAATTATGGACTTTGTCTTCCCAAGTAACTGTTACTCATGATGGAGCTCTGATCTCCTGGAGCTGGCTGAACACCTGACTGATAATGGGAAGTTGTTAATGAATTCCTTGTCTTGCTTTGCTTGCGTGAGTGGCTTTTGCTTTAGCTGTTAAATTGTCTTTATCTCAACTCATGGGTTTTGTCAGTTTTACCCTTCCCATTATCCTTCTCACCCTACTAGCAGCTGTGTGGGGCGTAAATACCTACCACAGGTAAACCACAACATTCAGTTAAGTCAATTACTTTCTGCCTTTTACATGTAATGGTTGGACTTGATATATTACAGGTCTTATCCAGCCTTCATGATTCTGTGTTTCCATATATATAAGAACTTAATGACATAACCACCTGAAAGTAGTGATAATTGCTTTGTAACTCATTTTTCATTCATCATATCCCTCCTGCATAAAGTCTTACCGAATGGTGAGCTCCAGTATCTGTGCAAGTCTATCATGAAGCAAGTTTGCCTAGGAAAAAAAAATAAAATTCCATTATTAACTACTGAGTGTGTTTCACATCATTACATGGCCAACATAGGCAGCACTTCCAATCTTCATTTCTTTTCTGCCTGCTGTAAGGATTCTGAGCACTAAAGAGAAATGTGAGGTTGAGCGAGCCCATCTTGGAGTGCATGGCATTATACAGCAAATTTGACTGTTGCAGACAGAAGTTTCACAAACCTGAAATACATTTAGTTAATCAAAACATATAATGGGGTAAATATTGCTCCAGTTCTCTGAAGATGAAATGTGAATGGAGCGTGAATCTAGATTTCAAAGATAGTAAGGAAAACATTAAGATGAAGAGTGTATGAGATTTCCATTCCTTTTCAAATGGTCTAGCAACAATCAAAACCACACTTTAAATAATTGAATTTGCCGACATTAATAATAGTAAAGATAAAAGCTGAAGATAAAGAACTGAACCTCTTCAGACATAAGAGAAGCAGTGACACGATACCATAAATCACCCTCAGCCAGCACATCTCCATTAATGCTTATGCTAGGATCTTTAATGTTGCAAAACGTTGTTCAGAAACTCACTTTGGTTTCACATTGTGCTGCAATTTCCTCAAATGGTGCTTTTTGGAACTTTTCAATCACAAGGCGCCTTTTTTCTTTTTCTTGTTCTTCAAGTCCGTTGTTATCTTAAAAAAACAAGAACAGGACATGTGTAAACTTTGCCTATGAAGTGTAAGTGATATAAACCTTCAAATGAAGTTGGTGAAAAACTGGACCAAGTTACCCAGAGAGGTGGTAGCTGCGCCATCTCTGGAAACATTCAAGGTCAGGTTGGACAAGGCTCTGAGCAACCTGATCTAGTTGAAGTTGTCCCTTCTCAACAGGGGTAGGTTGGACTACATGACCTTCCAAAATCAAACTATTCTATGATTTTATGTGCACTATAGAGGCAAAACCCTACTGTATTTACGGTGATGAAACCATACTCAAGTGAGCTGTGTTCCGTCATTGACTCTAATGCAAAATGCAGATACAATTTCAGGGAGCTGGTCTGAGGACCTCAGTTTTGCCCCTTTCTTGTTATGTGCTTCATTATGAGTACATCCAAAGTTTCTTTTGTTTTATTATCTAGACTCAAGACTGCACTTCACTCATCGCACACTGAATGCACTGAAGACCTGAAAAATCTTAGTATGTAAAAATTAGGTGCTTTATAATGAATCACTCAAATTCTAAAATCTCATGTTATTTATAGCTTGCTCTGTAAGGGCAAATTTAACAGATGACAGGCATATCTAGATACTGACCATTCAGTCACATTAGCCTCAGGAAATGGATTCACTACAATTATCAAGATACCACATTCCAGAAATTTAGAAATAAATAACTGAAGATTTAAATAAATTTACTAGTTGAAAAAAACCCACAAATGTAGTATTTTAATCATGCTACTCTGGCAACACCTTTTTCTCTAGCAATTCCACAGCAACCTAGAACCATGCTGCATAAACTCAATTGTAATGTATCTTACCAATTGCTTTCTTCAAAGCTTCAAAGGTGATTTCTTCAGTGTTGTCAACCTAAACACAAAGAAACAAAAGCCCTTAAACCTCACATAAAACAAGATTCTAAAAAATAAGGAATGTGACAAAGACAGAAGGCCAAAATGGCCACAGAACTTTTCTGCATTGCAAGTTTTTAGTGGCTTTATCCGGAGCTCCTACAAAAGCCAACAGATCACTAACTCACATTTTTAAGCCACTGCAATTAGTAAGGAATTTTTTATCAAATAAGATCAAGGAAATACTTCCAAATTTTGCTCAAGATGCTCTATGGCAACGATACTGTAGAAAAGGACTTCCATTTCAGCAGATCACTCCTTTGGATCAGGAATATGCCATGGTATTTTCATACTGCTTACCCTTGGTACTGGTTCTTAGGCAGCTGTTGTGAATAACAGCAACTGCTTCCTGAGATTAGCTGAGTTACCAGTGATGTGATTTTAAAGCAAGAGATTATAGTGGATGCTTGAGTGGAAAATGGTTATTGCTTTAGGGTAACTTCATCCCCGTATGAGTTCCAAATAATTTGGTGCTTATGTCAGAAACATTGGAGCTAAAGGGCTCTTCATAACCAGCGATGTCTGATGCACTGAGAAAATTTACTCATTTATCACTATGAATATCCATTTGCTGCTGCAGATGTAATTCATTAGGAACTGCTTGGGGCTGCAAAATTACCAAAGACACATGACCATTTTTTTTAAGAGCTCCAGCTCATGGATCTTTGTGTTTCAAGTCTTTATAGACCTAGAGTTTCTGTATCAGGAAGCATATTTACAGTGAAACCACTGTGATAACACTAGGGGAGAATGTTTAGAGGGTAGCACAATATTTATCTGAATGTAACATGGTTTCTTGGCTTGACTGCCTTATTTTAATCCTTCTAAACTAACTACTAATCCTTCTAAACTAACTACGTGTAAACAGGTAGCACTTTTATTTTTCCTTTTAACTATTTAGAATGGTCTAAAATGATTGAAGATAAAATTAATCTTAAGATCTGTAAGGCAGCACAGTTATTTCTCCCAATTCAAAAGACTAAATTATTTCAATTTTTTCATTGATCGACTTGACCTACTGTAAATGGAAAAGCAAGAAAAAGAAGCTGTTTCCTTTTAACATCAGTGCTATTTTATTACAGATGGAGCTGTGATATTTTATTAACAGACTTTACTACATTAGTAATCTAGTCTCTACCTCTGAATATATATATAGATTAATATATAAACAGCAAAGTTTCCTTTATGTCAAATATTGGTGCATATGGCTAGAGAGAACAGCTTTGAAATAATCACCTTTTATATGGTTCATATATGGCAAATACCACTTGTTTATGGCAGCGTTTTAGATTTCTAATTAACATTCACACTAGTTGCTGGTACTAGCCAGCATTATATTCAATTATTAATATCACAGAAGCACTAGCTGTTTTTACCAGTGCTTTCATCTTATAAATTGAGGTAACTAGGGAATAAACAGTCCTCCTGAACAGGATTCACTAACAGACTTGCCACAACAGAACACTTTGATTGTACTGATAGAAGAACTGCATTCATATTGTATACATTACTAGATATTCTATGGATAAACAGTCTTTTGCCTGAGACAGTGTAGAAATGATAACATAATTAATTTTAAAAGTTCCATGAATCAAGTAGTTTATCCTCTCAATCATAAAGCCTTTTGCTCCTTTTTCTTTTTTCAGTTTGACTCTGCTGACAGTTATGAACTATGTTGTATTTACTATCCTATATAGCTAGAGAACCAGATTTAATATCCTCATGGACTTTATTTTCCTCCTCTTGAGCTACATCCAGTGTATCATATTACACTGCACACAGCAAAAAAAAAGGCATTATGAGGAAAGAAGAAGTAGAAAAATTAAAGTACCAGTACTGAAGGGACAAACTGCCCAGGAAGGTGGCTGAGTCACCACTCCTGGGGTACTTAGAGACAAAGACTTGGTGCTGAGGGACATGAGCTAGTGGTGGACTTGGCAGTGTGCTACATTAACAGTTGGACTTGATGACCTTAAGGGTCTTTTTCAACGTAAATGATTCTGTAATTCATGCAAGTTTTTCATACGTTTATGATTTATTTAGGTGTCAAGGTCAGTAAACTGGAAAATACTGTTTTTACCTTTGCATTGTAAATAAACATCAAGCAACTAAAGGAGGAATACTTTATGTGCTTCTGATTATTTTTTTTCTTGAGAGATAAACAGTAATTTATTATCCAAGACACTGTACCATACTAAATTGAGAACTCATACAAGGACTTTGATCTATCTACAACTGCTATATCCTCTTCAGAAACATCTATATATCAATGCTTAACCTAACATCAGCATAATAATTTGAAATATGAAATAGAAACTCCTGATTTAATTCTGCTTTAAAGAGAGATTTTAAGCACATGTAATACATGGTTTTAAAAAAGGATTCTGATGTCAATCATCCCCATTACAATTATGAGCATTTATTTAAAATGCTAAAAATAATACTAATAAATACTAAAAATACTAAAAGCTAAAAATTGTGATAATTTGGCTTATTTTTAAAAGCCTTCATTCTTCTTTCTCCAAAATTTTTATCTAGTTTATCTATCCTTGCTAATGGACAATACCAAGAAGTAAACACAGAATGTAATCTGAAGTATCATCAGCACGAAGCAGGGACTATAACAATGTCAAACATAAATCACTTCTGTCAGTAAGTTATAAAATGAGGCTTGATCTTTTACAATAGCTTAATACTGCATTTGTAACTAGCATTCAGCTTGACCTTTCACACATATTGTTTTGTGTCCCTAGCCAGTTTGTGCTTTAAGATGCTAAAGTTAGAATTTATTTGCAGTGCAAAAGCCTTAACTTGAACAGCTAAACTCCACTGCAGCCAGCAGAAATCTGGTTAATAAAAATCTTGAACCTTGAAAAAGATTCAGTAGAAATGAAAATTTATTTTAAGAAATACTTCAGATGAAGTGTCTGAAGATGTAGGATAATTATAACGCAGCCTTCCTAAGGGATAATTAGCATCAGCTCCTGTACCCTACAAATGAACTTTTTGTGGCTACATTATCTTGCCCAGGTCTTTTAAGACACTGTGCTAAACTGTTCTGTTAGCCTTTACAGGCCTATCTCAAAGTCAGCAGGTCTTCCATTAGTCTTTTATCTGTCAGTCCCATGCGGATGAACAAGACTCCCAAATACTTCAAACGATGCAGAAATATAGATGCAGGAATTTTATTTGCTCCCTCAAAAGTCAAATACATATTTTTTAGAATATTTACTCATAAAATATTAGCTGTCTGGCATATATATGTGTTCTACTCCATATTCTGCAGCACTATCAGTAAAAACTATAGTCACAAAATACTTTTCATTTTTATACAGCAAGATCGGTATCAGTGCCTTTACAACACATTTCTACAAATACAGGAATCACTAAAAAAAAAAATAAATCTAAACTTGAAAACATTTAACATTGTTTGAACAATTAGATATTAGACTTTCTGGGAGAAGTTAATTTGTATTCTGAACCCTGTAAAGATGCTGCTTTAAAGTATCCCGTGATTTTCCTACCTTATCCTCTGTGTTGTTGCCAGGCAGAATATCCACCTGAATAGACACTGTGTCCACAATGCTCTTCCTCCTGGAGAGTCTGTCTTCATCTAGAAGAAAAACAACTTATCTCATTCCTTGTCTAACAGTTGAAATACGACCAGATTTCTACATATCAGGTGAAGATTTGTTTTTATATTCCTATTTAACACAAGATCATCTATTTTATCATCTGGATTGTTGTGAAAAATGACCAGTTACTGCTCTAAATTATTAAATATGAAGGGAAAATAACCTTTTCATTGTTCCTTCCCCCTCTCAGCCCAGATCTTGCCAGCTTTCCTGTGAAAGCCCAGAATTAAAAAAAGCGAGATGAGACCTTATTTGAATGTATAATAAATAACATAGTACATGATGACACATTGCTGCAGAGTTATTTACAAAAGCCTGAACTTATTTTTCTTTTGGTCCTGCAATTGAAATATTAAGGTCTTAATTTGAAGATATTCTGAAACTCACTTACAAACCCATGAGTTAAAAGATCACATTTTAGATTTTATCAGAGATCAAGGCATTTGGACGTGGACATTATAATTTGATGACTTGCACTGCACATAGCTTGAAGCACCTGCAGGTACTTGGAGAATGACTAAAACTCCCCCATCACAACGCAATTTATGCTGGTTCCTCCCCAACCTTTGTTTGAATCACTTCTAGCAAAATATTGAGCATGAACAAACAGAATTCATTCCAGCAGAGCTGAACATACTCAGCTTTTAAGAGTCTGGAAATAACTTTCAGAAGTCATATATATGAAATGCCTCTTTAAGATCAAGAGACAGTGAAAGAACAAGACTAGTGCAAAACACCTGAATTCTAGCTATCTCTGCCAAGTTCTCAGAGCCCCTGAGCATTTTAAGTGGCATTTTGAAGGATTTACTTAATTTCTATTCCCAGCTGGCAGGCTCACTGGCACATGATGCAGTACATAAGAGTCTGAGGAAAGCACCTTAACTCTCAAGAGTTAGAACAAGACAAAACTGCATCTTTGCTGCCATCTTGCTGCTCTTTCTATAATTGACATGCAAATACCAGAAGATACATTTTTGGGACTACTTTGGGTAGGATTCATTTTTTAAATGCATGCCTTACTATACTTGCCTTATAAAAATGTCCATTCTTCTCCAATTTCAAGGGTAAAACATTGTGAAAAGAGGAACTTTTTCTGTTACATGACATAAATCTCATCTCGATGCTCACAAAGGAGCTCAGATGCATGAGGGTAGTGGTGGAGCCCCAATACCCAGTGTCCCAGCCTCTGCCAGGGTTATCCCAGGAGTCTTGGCCCCATGGTCCAGGAGTGGCATCTATCCCATGGGGTGATGGAAGCAGCTCTCTGGGTCACCACACTGATCAAGGCAGGGTCAGTGCCTGGGGTAGGGGACACATCATGGGATGTAGGAAAACAACATCTTAGGATTGCACAATGTTTAGTATGGTATGTTTAGGAGAGGTAACTGGGGACAAGGAGGACTGAGATGGTTTGGGGAGAAGCAAGCAAGGAAAACAGACAGATAAATGGATAAATGCATCAGTCCCATGTAAACTGGCTGTTGATCAGTGTGTGCATCTGGCCATGCCCTGAGCCTCATTAGTGCAGCCTGCCATGTCTTCTGATTAAGTCTCACTTCTTTTCCTGGATGCCTGACTGCTCTTTGTGCAGGTGTGTGCATGGGGGTCTGAGCCCAGCAACTGGAGTCAGGCCACAGTCAGAGGGTCTGTGTCTGGAGCGAGGGCACGCAGCACCCCTGCATGGTAATGAGGGAATATCAAGCTGGATCAGCAGGTGAGTAGATCAAATGGCCTGGAATCTGGGCATGCCCATATATGTCCATCCCTCTCTGTGTCTGAGGGGAATGCACCTGAGGGACCAGGAGGCCCAGGTCAACTGTTAGAAAGATCATGGAACATGAGGGGGTGACTGAGACAGACGTGTGTACCCATGTGTGCATTACTGTGCACAAGAGGGATCTGCACCAGCAACAGGACCAGAGCTGTGGGCCTTTGGGAATCACATGTCCAGGTGCCAGTGACAGGGGAGGCAGGGACTCAGGAGACAGCTGGGGGGGTGACAGTGTCAAAGCCCAGCTACTGCTGGGATGCACACAGAACATATGCACATATATATGTCCCACTAATGCACAGCCAGCAAGTAAGATGAACCATCATTCTGTGAGCAGCTGAGATTCTTCCCACTTTCTACTAAATTCTAGTAAGGTTGCTCAAAGAGGTAATTAGTACTATCACAAAATGATACCTATAGTCCTACTGCCTGCTTCGGAAAAGCAAACAGGAAGCTAACATACTGCAGAGTTCCAAATCAAGAGTAAATGCAAAGGCAAACCTTGCAGCAGCTAACATTGCTACAGGTCTATCAAGGAGATTAAAAAAAAATAAAGGCAAAAAGCAGAAGGAAACACTAAGTACAACACAATTTCTGACCTAAAGGTCTAAAGGCCTTCTAAAAGCATGTATTTTTGACTGTGCCATCCTATACAGACACACCACAAGGAGCAGAAGAGCAGGGTGACCTATAACACATTTTTACCTTTTAACCTGTGTCTGCATTTATGAGGTTTTTTGCCTGATGAAAATAGAGCTAAATTAAAAAAAAATATCCATGTATAGACAAAAAAATACTAAATGTATATTTAAATTATCAGTTTCTCCCAAATAAGGAAGAGAACAAGGCATCAAAAGTTGCAAATTAATGTCTTTCCAACTGATAAGAAATACCAAAACCTGAAACTAAGGATTAGGACTTTTTGTCTATAACCCACTGTTAAAGCATTAAAACACTGATATTCAGAAATACTAGAAATAATTAGGACAAAATCCTTACTGTTTTTTTGGGTTCAACCATAATCTTCACAAGAATATACCAAAAAATTATTCATCTTTAAAATTAATAACATACTTTAAAACACTATATTCTAGCTTTATAATACAATAGTACAAATTAAACATTTCATTGAAGTAAAAAATAAAAAGTTTCAGAATTCCAAAATATTCACTTTGGTTCTGATTTAGTTAAATGAAACCTTGGAAGCTTAAATATCCCACAAGACGAGAGATTAATAATCCTCTGGTAACAGAGATGGAACCAGTTTTGGCTACTTTTCTTTAGAAAAAGACTGCAAAAAACCTGTTTTTCATCACCTGAAAAGGCAGTTAATCACAAACTTACAGATAAACTCATTTAATCTTGATGTCAGAACTTACACATCTTCCCATGTAGGAATGCCTTTTTACCAACGTATTCAAGAAATCCCTAGAAGCCCTAGCAAGGTTGTTTAGGTACAAATCTTAACTTCTAGAAGAGGTTTAATGTAAATTTCAAACCAGGCTATCTTTCTCATTCCACTCTCATGCACTCAAAGACAGTAAAAATTTGAAAATGTAACATTTCCCTACTTGCTACCTATCTCTTCTGCCAATACTAAAATACAATGTTAACTGTTTTTTTGGAAGCCAGAAGAAATACTCTGTTTGAGTATAGCAACATTTTCCTTTTTAGAAGGGGAGAAAACCAGTAACAGAACACACAGACATTGCAGCTGTGCCAGATTATACCACTAGTTGGCCTGCCAGCACTTGAGACAAAACCACATTTGCTGTTTTGGACAACTCTTCCCCTCCCATAGCAGTCATCCAGAAAGCCCTATTGAAGAGAGAAGGCAGCAATGTCTTTGAATTGCACTGAAGTGTGACAGATCTGCCATTCACTGCCCATATGTACTATGTTTTCATTCTATGTGTAAGCTAAAAAAAGTAACATTCTCGATTAAATTAAAATTTGCTCATTGCAAATTTGACTATTGCCAATAACTTGTCAGCTTAAGGCGATATAGCAAAAGGATGGAGTATGTTCCATTCAGTGTTCACCTAAAAAGGATAAAGTACATTGACTTGTATAATTCTTCCTTCCTTGCTAACTCAAGTTAATACAGAAAACCAGTAATAATCACTATTGTGTTCCTAGGCATTCTTTTGAAAGCAAAGACTTCATTAAAAAGAGTCAAAGTGGCTTACAGAACTTTCTGCCCTGCCTTTTGAATTTAAGGCAAAAAGTAAATATTAAATGGACACAAAGTTGAAACTTCTTAGCAATAATATGGTAGCTAATGAGAAAAAGCATTTTGGGAAAAAACAAAATTATACTATCATTAAGTTTTATTGCCAAGTAGTCACACTACATTTCATTGGCACACATTAAAAAAACATTCTTAATAATTGGTACTTCGCAGTTTTTGCCACTAATCAGCACTTACCTGTTACCTGGGGTACATATGGAACTGACAATCTTTCCACACTGTATCCACTGCCTCCTAAGGATTCTGCAATCTTGTTTGTCAGGAAAAATAAATTTTTTTCATCCTTCTCCAAGGACTTTGGAAGACTGTAAAAATGTATATTGGAAGTTATTATCTACCAACAAAAACTTGTTCACTAAGTAAAATAATTAGTAACCAAAAAGGGTCAATGGTAATGATTTGATAGAAATAAAACTTGCTCAGTTTTTTAGGAATGAGTACATAAAATGTGTCCATTGAACACCTCTCCAATGTTTTAAACTAACTTAACACTTCTTGGTTATTTAAATTACATTCCTCATCTGTTCTGCTGTATCTTGGTAGAATATGGTTTCTGTTAAATGAAATAAAAACAAACTACAGAGTAACAGTATTTGCCATTGCTAGCAATGTGTCCTTGTGACAAAAAAAGACCAAGGGTAGGTATCCTGGGAGTACTGCCAGCAGGTCAAGAGAAGTGAGTGCGTGTGATCAATGTGTACAAGTACCCTAAGAGAGGAAGGGTGGAAAGACAACAGAGCTAGGCTTTTTCCAGTGGTCCCTCTTTTTTATTGTGAGGGTGGACTGAGCACTGACATAGGTTGCCCAGAGAGGATGTGGAGCTGCCATTCTTGGAGATATTCCAAAGCCACCTGGATGCGGTCCTGGACAGCCTGCTCTAGGTGACCCAGCTTGAGCAGGGATGTTGGACCAAATAACGTCCAGAGGCCCTTCCAATCTCACCCTTCCTATGATTCAGTGAAAACCCATGTTGCTGTGTTAGCACTCACACTAAGCATCATCTTGTGCAACACATTTCAATGATGTGCAGTTTTTAATACTGAGGTAAGTACTTCACTGTTCATTATTTCACATTCTATATCTACTTACTTGGATTTGTCTTTGAAAATTGTTTCTGGTAGAAAATAGGATGCTTCTAGACTTCTAGTTTCAATTACCTGAAAAAACCAAACAGAACAAATACAGTAGTTGCATAGCTATTTTCTCAAATGTCTACATCGTTTAAAGAGGTTCTACTGTAGCTGATTACCAATTCTTCAGCAACATCCACTTGAGCCCAAATGAGGCCTTTAGAATTTCTTTTCACCAGAGAAAGAGACTGTGGCACTCAGTCTTTAGGCTTAAAACCTCATGGTCCTGTCCATGTCAGTACTGTTTTACCAAAGCCAGTGAAGACTGTAAAGTCTTCTAACAGATGGGGATTTAGCCCATTACATATGGCACCATAAACAACGTAAAGATGCTATACCTTGAGAGAAGAGTATTCTGTGAGTCAGAAAGAACACAAAGAGCAATGTTGGTGGACACAAATACACCACAAGCAATTACTTGACAGAAATTATTTTAAAGTAGAATATGTACCGTTCTAAATTACTTAAATTAATCAATGATGTGTTACCTTGCTGACATGCTGACAAAAGGCAGGAACTGCAATCATCTGACTCAGAAAGTTTAGATATGCTGCAACCAGTGCCATGACACCACAACGATTAAACATTGGCAGATTATCCTCATTGATAATGGCAATGTCCTGAAACATAAAGGACAGCACTATACTCTCCAAAGTTAACAGGCTGTTCTTAATATATGGAAGTCAAAATTATTAGTAGAAGCACTAGCTGACATATGATAACTATCTGGTATTAGCATTTAACACCTCTCATCTTAAAATCCTAGTCTTTTACCTCACTCCTGAATTAAGTATATATTGATCTGAAATTAGCATGAAAGATTGAAATCTTATGAAGATAAGTAAGTCTACTCAATTCAAAATTTCTGTTTCTCAGAAAAAAAGTACATGTTAAAGACTAGTAGTCTCTCATCCTTACCTCCTGCTGATCTTAACTTTTTTCAGGAAAATCAGAAACAGAAGACTGGTAATAAAAATCAGTCTTGTGAGTCACAGATACAGTACCGTAAAGGGAATTATTTAATGCATTTCTGTGTTTATTTAGATTGTATTATTTTTGTCCTAATAAAACACATAATGACTTTTTAATCAAGTAAGGATTTGGTTCAGTGACATATTTTAAAATTAAGGATGCAATTTGCATTTCAGAGTGTGTGCAGTAGGGAATAAGGCTCATGACAAAGACCGAACTGAGAACACAGGACATGGCATCATCAAATTTCCATGCACATGCTTAGCCCTTTTTTTTTTGAATGCTTAAACTTCAATAAAGATAAACCTACTCAAGTAAGATTAAACAGCCTGGTTTGACAAATGTTTCCAACCAACAAATTAATCGTAAGCTTTCTTCCAAGGTGGGGACCTAACGTGTATTTTATATGGAAAACTGAGGCAAGATCATGAACACCTTATCAAACTGCTAATGAATATGATAGTGATTCTAGGGGTTGTTTCAAAAAATTTCCACAACTCTTATATTTCCTGAAGAGAATATGCTGTAGAAGTTTGCAACAGATCTGATGAGTTGAAGCTTCCCCATCAGTGCTACGTACAAAGTGCACTTCCTTGACGGGTGGATCAAATCAGACTGAATGATGAGTCTGCACGATTTCCAAGTTGAAGATCAATATGCAAACAAAAGTAGTTATCCAGATCTCCAAGTACAGATATAAATTGTCCATCAGTGAACTCAACACTGATTCAGACTCGTACCTGCAAAGCTATAGCTAATCGAATGAGGTCAATAACCACTTCTTCATTAGCTAGTTCGATTGTGGTAAGAGCTAGGGATGTAAATAGCAGCTCAAAATTCTTTTGAACATTGTCTTCTTCTTTACAGCCCAAGTAGATGTGTCTGTACAACTGCTGACCATGCTATAAAAGACAAAATAGGGAAAAGCACTATTAAAATCAGAGTGATTCAGAAAGGATACTTTAAGGTCCTCTAGTCCAGCTCCCTACTCTAAGCACAGCAAACTTTGATGTTAAGATGATTACAGATAGGGAATTTAAAAACAAACATATATATATACATACACAAATGAATACATGATTAATCAAGAAAACTACCAGTTTACTAAGATAACAGCAGCTTCCTTATTTATAAAGTACTGTTTTATTTTATGGAGAAGTGTACAGATAGGGAAAATGATACTGGACATGGTTGCTGCAACGTGTGTCAGAATTCATTCCCTATTGAAATATTCAGAAAAAAAAATGCCCATTTATGAAAAGGAGAAAATAAAAGGTAGATCTTGAAACAGTCTCAGGAACATCCAAGTAACTGAGGAGCTTCACGGGTTATTCTTGTGAAGACATTACATTTCTTCACTAAACAAGCCTACCTAAATAACAAACTGAGAAAAAATTCTCCTAGAGGGTGCTTCAGAAAATGAATAGGGCTGATTTACCACTGTGCACAGGGAGGCTCTAGCAAAGAACAGGGAGAATCTATTGAAAGACCCTCAACTTCAAAAGTGACTTTTCTTTCCCTGTAATGCTGCTTAACCAAATCTTGTAAACGAAACTATAGTTTCAACATAAACAAAAATGAAAACACAGAAAGGTAGGTTAAGAAGCAGGTTTTGTATGCAACACATGACCCATTACCACCCCAGCATTCTTAATCTTGCAAGATACAGGTCTGTATCAGCTGACACAGTTAGTTTCCAAGATTCAAGGCCTCATGCTTTAACTCTGGAAGTACTAGTTCATTTTTAGAAGGTGAAAGAAAACTAATTTTTAACACTTGTTCTTCAAGCAGGACGTTAAGAAATAATAAAGATTTTTCTTTTATTACTTCTAAAATCAAATCTACAGTTATCCAAATATACAGGTTATTTTGAAAAGAGGGACAAGGTGTCAGTAAAGCACAAAAGCTATTATGAAATACGCACAGCAAAGATTAGCTCCTTAAAAACACAGTACAGTTGGAAGGCTAAAGTAATGAAACTGCTTCTCCCACTGATAAAAAAATTCACTTCAATACAAAAATGAATTATTATATGGATTTTCTTTACAGTTAATATCTTTCTAGAGGACTGTAAAATGCAAGAAGTTCAACATTTTCCTTTTTAAGAAAGGACAGAAATAAACCTCTTGGCTTTGAGAAGGTGGACTAAGATGAAAAGCTTTGTGCCTATGTTTGGTTTAATTCCACCTAATTCCTAAGGATGATACACAGCTGCCTTAGGTTCCTCATCTAACATCAAACAAGCCTAGACAGTAATTCAGAACTTGATGGACTTCTGGAGGGGCTTTCACCCCTCTCTGTTATCATGCAAGGTATTTGGGAAGAGCAGGCTGTTAACATACCCATCTAAACGAGGAAGTGACATTAGGTTTATGATACGTGCCTGCAACAGTATCCCATGGGTAATTATTGAATGAGTTCACTCTGCAAGGTTAATACATTTTTTTGGAAGACTCTATAATCTTTTTTTGACCTGCTAAGAGTCTCTTTTCCTCTCTTGCCCTGTTTTTCAAAAGCCAATGTTAACAATTCAAATATTTGGTTTGACAATTACCATTTTCACCTAGCAAAATAAGTAAAGACAACTTATCCACACTGTTTTAAATCTGAGATATTGATGAATTAAAATGCAATTAACTTGTTACAAAGACACATTACTGATCATGGCCGATGCTGGAGTATTCTTTATGTTTGTATTATTCCAGTATTAATCAAAACAGAACATTTATCTCGTAATGTTTCTTCAAAGCTGCAAAACTCTATTTTGCATATTATTACAGAGATAAACTACAGTCAGGAATGACACAGCCCACTAATTTTTCCCCATACAAAACCCAAGGTATTTATTGAACAGAAGCAATGTGACTCCACACAAGCATCACCTAAAAAATTATTTAAACAGTTCTTTAGAATGAAACATAATCTGAAGTCAACTGGAACAATGTCTGGTAAACACAATCTTTTTAAGGAAGTGCTTTTTTCAGAATCATGGTTTAGATATACAGTGTTCTAATTTCATGCATGCAAGGATTTTCACTGAAGATATAAATGAAAATTTGATTCCATGGAACCACCTCTCAAGTAACTAAGCACCTCAATGCTGAAATCATTGTGATTTGAATTCAAATGACTCAATACTAATCTTCACGATGTGTAGCAAAAACACAGTTGTAGAAGAAAAGCAAAGCAACTGGTTCAGTTACTTTATCTTCCCTTTAGGTACAAAAGTTAACTTTTTAATCTATTACCTTTTTCATGAAGCTCACATCTTGCCTTGAAATTTTGTCTCGTTTTATCTTTAGATCAGAAACATCAGGTATTATTCTGTAAAGGGAATAAAAATGGCAGTTAAGGAAAAGGAAGTTGAAAGGGAAGAGGATGTGAAACACATGAGCTATTCAAACAAATCTTGAGGCAATTTCCATTTTATTTCCATTTTAATTCTCTCTGCTTAATAATTCAAATCTTAGTTGAAGAGGGAGAAACATTAACAGAATTATGACAACTACATGTTTTTTTTCTCTACATAAAATATTATATTCTGTCTTCCCCAATTTAATTAGCAGATATACATGGAATGGTCATTTAAGGCATTATGCACTCGGGCTTACCTGAAAAAGCTTAGTTGCATTTAACAAAATAGTACATTTCATGGTAGGAAAAACATTTAAAAATCAACTGTAATTATCATTAAAATATTAAAATATTAAAATGACAGAATCACCAATGCTGGAAATGACCTTAAGATCATCAAGTCCAGCCTATGACCAACACCACCACATCGGACAGACCATGGTACTAAGTGCGACATCCAGGAAAGGTGCCTCCACCACTTCCCTGGGAAGTCTATTCCAATGTCTAATCACCGTCTCTGTGAGGAATTGCTTCCTAATATCCAATCTAAACCTCCTCTTGAGCAGCTTCTGGCCATGGCCTCTTGTCTTGTTGCTAGTTGCCTAAGAAAAGTGCCCAGCCCCCACCTGACTACAACCTCCCTTCAGGTAGTTCAAGAGAGTGATAAGGCCATCCCTGAGTCTCCTCTTCTCCAAGCTAAACAACCATAGCTCCCTCAGCCCATCCCTTTAAGACTTTCCCTCTAGTCCTTTCACTAGGCTTGCTTCTCTCCTCTGGACTTGCTCCAGCATATCAACATCCTTCTTGAAGTGAGGAGCCCAGAACTGTACACAGAACTTGAGGTGAGGCCTCACCAGTGCTGAGTACTAGAATTTAAAGGAGGCCAAAGCAAAGAAAAAGAATTACCGAATCCCTCTGAGCTTCGCCCTGTTGTCATGTCGATCGATGAGATTATGCAGGATTTCCAAGACCAGCTGCCTTAGCTCTGAGTCTTCCATGAGGGAAGGAGACAGTAACGGGTCCAGAAACGGGGGAGGAAGTGCGTTAGTTATCGTTGTGGCTTTGTATCCTGAAGTCACCTGTTCATTGGGGGAAGCAAATTAACATGTGTCATTATTGCATTGTAAGAATCACTTGCAGCTGTCACTTTTTAGCTGGTTTGCTTTTGGCATCTGAAAGGTGAATTCAAAGGGAAGCACTGTACTACTTTACAAAATTCCTAACCTCACTGTTAAGTTGGAAAGTCCCTGGTACTCATGTTCAAAGGAACTTCTGTTTTTTTTGAAGTGATTCCTTCTATTACCAAAACACTCAAAAGAAAAAATAAAGGAACCGTTTATGATTATTTTTTTTAACAGGCTATGAAAAGTTGCAGGGCATAAACTGAAGATGGCAAAATTCCAATAGAGGGTTTTCCATTTCAGGCTCTGAGCTGCTCGTATATGGCTCTGCATATGTTCATGTGAAGAAAAAAAAGGGAAATTGGGGCCTATATGTACATCTTAAACACAGGGGAGACAGCCAGGATAGATGACCCCAAGTGACCAAAGGGGTATTCTGTACCACATGATGTTGTGCTCAACAACTAAATAGGGGGAGGAGGCAAAGTGTTCCAGGGCTGTCAGTGCTCAGGGACTGGCTCGGCATAACTCTGTTGGTAGTGAGCAATTGGGTTTTGTGGTTTGGGTGTTTTTGTGGATTATCACGGAATCATAGAACAGTTTGGGCTGGAGAGATCTGTAAAGGTACAATCACACCTGCAATGAGCAGGGACATTTTCAACTAGATCAGATTGCTCAGAGCACTTGGTCTTGTTGAACCTCTTAAGGTTCACATGGGCACACTTCTCAAGCTTGTCCAGCCACCTCTGGATGGCCTCCTGTCCCTCTGGTGTGTCAACTACACCACCCAGTTTGGCGTCTCAGTAAACTTGCTGAGAGTGCACTTGATCCCACTATGTCATCTATGAAGACATGTAGCAGTACTCATCCTAATACAGACCCCTGAGGGACACTACTCATCACCAGTCTCCATCTGGACATTAAGCCTTTGCCCACTAACCTCTGGATGGGACTATCCAACTGATTCCTCATCCACCAAACAGTCCATCCACCAAAATCATTTCTGTCCAATTTAGAGAGAAGGATGTTGTGGGGGACCATCTCAAAGGCCTCACAGAAGTTCAGATAGATGACATCCATAGCTTTTCCCTTGTCCACTGATGTAGTCACTCCTTCATAGAAGGCCACCAGGTTTGCCAGGCAGGACATGCCCTTGGTGAAGCCATGCTGACTTTTTCAAATCACTTCCCTGTCCTCCATGTGGCTTAGGATAGCTTCTAGGAGGATCTGTTCCATGATCTTTCCAGGTACAAAGGTGAGGCTGACAGGACAGTAGTTCTCAGGGTCTTCCTTTCTACCCTTCCTGAAAATGGGCACAATGTTTCCCTTTTTCCAGTCACCAGGGGATTCACCTGACTGCCATGACTCTCCATGACAATATCATGAAAAATGACTTGGTAACTACATCAGCTAGTTCCCATAGGGCTCTTGGGATGCATTTAAGTTCGTCAGGTGGTCACAAACCTGATCTTCTCTTCCAAAAGGAGGGATCTTGCTCCACCAGTCCCTGCCTTGCAATTTATTGGTGTTTTTTTAATAATTTACTTTTCTTAATGTTTTGTTGGATTTTTTTTTAATATTTACTACACTGTCTTAATCTCAACCCACTTTTTTTCACTTGTACCCTTATGATTGTCTCCCTAGTCTCACTGGAGAAGACTGAAAAGGTGACTGGGTAGTGCTTTGCTGCCTGCCAGGGTTAAACCCCATCATGTGAGCAAGTGCAACTCCCACAGCATAACTGAACAGGTTCAAAGGAAACCGGCTGGCAGAGGAGCATGAGGACACATGAAGGAATTTAATCAATGATTTTGAAAATGGAAAATTACTAATACCAGAAGAAATAAGGCTGCAAATAAAAGTCCATGCTTTTAATGAAGTGCCAGATTTTAATTGCCTGTACAACATTAAACAGTCTGCCTGTGTGTATGCATGACAACAGACTGATTATGTTATGAACTGTTATTCTTTTGTAAAGAACACACAATGTTGTACAATGATGTAGAATGCTCAGTGCAGTTCACAAAAGAGGCAGGATTCAACAGTTTTCAGTTCTTTCTTATGTGTGGAGACTACACACCTTATATACCACAATAAAAGCTTTGATATGAAAACAAATTCCTTCCCACATTTTTACCACAATATTTATCCATGTCTGAGTAGAGAAATTTATTAAAAATCAAAATATTCACTTCCACATCTCTGTGCCAAGATGGGATTTTACTTCCATATTCTAAAAGAGGATTCAAAACAATATTCAGTGTAAAAAATGTTAAAATTCTTTCTACAAGCACAATTTAAATACTTTAAAGCATATTTACAGGCTATGCAGCACTCCAATTACAATTCTCACTGTCTTCAATGGAAATCGTTAAAACTGGTGAGATTTATATTGTCAGGAACAGTTCAGGCATAGCTGAGTCTATCTTTAATGAAGACAATGTGCAAAATGCCCCCCTGAGGTCCTTTCTAACAGGTTTTCTATCCTTAAATTGCAACTGTGAATGCTCAGCTCTTCTGCAAGCCAGAATCTAGGATTTCATGTTTTGACAAACACTGAATGGTTTACCTGAACTGTCTCGACACCATACATGAATTTCATGTCAAAGCAGGGATAGAAACTAATTTGCATGAATGTATTCTGTTGCTTTAGACATGAAATAATTCTTTATGCTATTTCCCCTACTTCAGCCGCTAAACAGTTTGCAGCTTCTGCAACAAAATAGGCCAGGATTCTAGAGGCAAAAACCTCCTCTTTATTACTCACTTCTGATTCCTACCATCAGGATGCATTTCCAGAAATACTCTTTGAAGTTTTACAGCTGAAAAACGTATATGTGATAAAAAAGTGTACTATACCTTACAAGAAATTTGCATAATAGTAGGAAAGAAAGGAATATGGTGCCTGAGGCATTAAGAGCTTGGAGACAAGCATCCATTCCTATTGTTTTAAAAATATTAGCCATTCTACTGATTACAGCCTCTCTGGTGTCAGAAGCAAAGTGATTTCACTTTGATTGCTAGCACTGCAGGCAGAACTAGTCAACTCAACCTACTCTCTGATGTTCTTTTTGATCTGCAGATCCAATTGTAACTCCTATTCACGAAAGTGCTCTGTGAGATGGAGGAATATTTCTTGAGCTGCTTGCAATGTAAATTTGGAAAATGCTGCCACACTTTTATCCAGTAGAACTACAGATCTTTGTAATATGAAGGTATGTTTCACTTCATAATACAGACTTGTAATACTATACATATATAAAAGCATACATAAAGTGAAACATTGCATGCTTATAAAATACTAAAGAGAACCCAGAAAGCTTACCATAAGTAAAGATCTCAATAGCATGATTTGGATCCTCCTAGTTCCCAAATCTCTACAATTGGAAAAAAGTTGAAAATTAGTTTCTTTGCAGATCTTCAGAATATTCTTCTAACAACTGTGTTTTTGACAAGGGAATACAGCAGCCTTGGGAATGACCACAAATTGGTGGATGACCACAAATAAAAGGCAAATATCTCCAAATGAGGTGTAATAACTATATATATATATATATTTTTAAAGGCTTAAAAAACCAAAGTACATGACTGACAAAAAAAAAGTAAATTTTATATATATGAAGCAGATATAAATCTTTATGTTTCGTTCAGAAATCACTTTGTATCTGAAACGTTTAACCACTAGATGCTTGACTTCATTTTCACAAGCATCAGTGCTCAGAATTTCTTCTGAATTAAAATGTAATCAAGTCTTTTAAGAAACCAGGACACTTCATTCGAGTCAGACCCCAAAACTTTGAGACTGAAAACAAATTACCTGCAAATTCAGTAAGAAAAACTAAAAGTCCTCAGTTTTCATTCCATGAGAAGGCACACAGAACACCACTTAACCTGTTCATATGTTTTCATTTTCCATCTGCTGGTACTAAAATAAGTTCAAAACCTATTGGTATACATACAGTCACATATGCCCTGTTCTTTTAAGATCCTACAAGAGAAAAGTACACCTGATTCAAAGAGAGTTCTAGAAAGTAAAACAAGGTACAAACTGTTTTGCCCACTGAAAAGCATAAGGAAAGAGCAAGCCTCTTTACAAATGTTAGCCTCTACACAACAGTGAAAACTGCCACCTTCATAGGTTATAACTTTGGGTGTATCTGCCTGGCAGCATCATTCAAATGTCTTGTGCAGCAGAGATCATATTTTCAGGTAAGTAATGTAAATCTGTACCAGCAGTCAGAAAGTCTGCTTTATTTAGAACTACATATGTGCATCTCACTAACATACTAGTCAGTTCCATGTTTACAAAGAATCTCATAAAGAAAATTGTCTAGTTAAAAAACAAATAAAATACCTCACACCCACTGGCAATCCAAATAGAGAATTCCAAATGGATCTATATTTTAAATACCTTCTTAATGAGTCGTAAATGCCTGGCACAGACAGATTTCTATCATACATGGAAGAGTGTCCCATACTGCAGGGAGACACTTCTACATGAAAAGCTACCAAGAAGCCAGGAGAAGGACAATGGCTTCCTTCTTAAGCTAGCAGATGATCAGACATGCATGGTGTCCCATGCATACCTAGAAAGAATAGCTGCAACCTTTCAGTGACTCCCCATACTGAGAAAAAGCAGTCCTTAAACATAATAATTCATATTACAGGGAAAAACATTACTTCAAATGTATGGCAGCTTTTTAATAATGGATTTATTACAGGATTCTGCCCACTTACAGCTTTCTCCAAAATAAACAGGGAAATTCTAAGCCTAAACAAATTTACTGGGATTTCTGCAGTTTATTTCCTAATGTGAAGTTACCTGATACAGAATGAAGAAAAAAAAACAACCCACTTGTAAATTATGCAGCCATTTGACAAAATGTAGTCACAGCTCTATTTCCTTCATTTACAAAACATCCACGTTTTAGAGTTTATGGAAGTTATGGAGTTATGGAATTAACCAAAATTAAGTAGATAATTTCAGAAACTTTTGTACAGACATGGAGAGAATAAATGTTTTAGTGGAAAATGAATTGCATTCCAATAAAATATTTTCTATCACTAAAGTGTCTGGGGATGGATTTCATGCTGCTGACTGCATAGCATTTAATACAGTCCCTAATGAGTGATATTTTTCATCTCACTTTTCTTATTTTTTTTTCACTTCTTGATTTATTAGGATTCTAAAAACTAATTTTTAATTAGAAATTTAAAAATGTAGGATATACAAACCCAAGGTGACTGGTATCAAGTGATTGTGAAGTTGTCCCAAAAACAGGTACTTTTCCCATGATAAACATCATAATCTCTGATCTCTGGTAATCTGGGAGATTGCTTCCAAAAAATCCTAAATAAAACCAGAATAAAATCAGAACGATAGAGTCTTATAAGTGCCAGGAATACATTTACAAGGTCAAATACTTTTACAAGCACTTTTACAAGGTCAAATGATTTTACAAGGTCAAAATACTATGATTGTTCCAGGGCATAATACTTACAGGTTCATTTCTATTGAATGGCTTTACAGAGTCTTTTCATGACACTTTCTTCTTTGAATCCTAAAACTTACTAAGGAGGTGAGTAGGTTGAGGAATATCAGGGGGTCTGAGAGATAGACAGACTACTGGGAGTGCACTGACCATGCCTGGGACAGACCTGTCAGGCTGACAGGACACATGATATGGAGGATTCTCTATCCTCTCCTCAACCATCAAAACACAGTGACTTAAGGGAAAGGGACCAATGACGACAAGTTCCTGCCTGGCACAGCAAGTGCATCTCCTCTGTCATTGAAATAACAGGTACAAGGCTCTGCAAGTGGAACTGAACCATAACAAGGACAATCTAGCTTGGAGTTTTTGCTGAGGTTAACATCAAACCTGCTTCCACAAAGAAAAAAGGGTGGGTCCTATACCTTCTTGGTGCAAGTAGGAGATGACTAAGAGAGGTGTCGTCCTAGATTTGTCTTTTGTAAACAGAGAGGGATGGATAAAGTGGTGACTGGTGACTGATGGCTGCCTTGGTCACAGTGAAATCAGGAGAAAAACTGCCCTGGATATGGGCAGAGCAGATTTCAGACTGCCAAAGGAACTAGAAAGATGCTCTGGGAATTTGCTTTTGGAGGTATTGGGGCCCATTAACATTCATTGCTTTTTAAGAACCATCTCTTCGGAGTGCAGGAGCAAGTAAATACAAAGTATGGGGAATCAAGCTAGCAGGGCAGAAAGCCACCCTGGCTGAACAGGGATCTTCTAGAACTCAGGTAGAAAAGGAAAGTGGACGTTGCAAGCAAGGACAGGCAGAATAGGAGGACTACAGAGATGCTGTTAAATATTGTAGGGAGAAAATGTGTGCAGCCAAAGCTTGATTAGAGTTCAAGCTGGCCAGCACTGTGAAGGTCACAAAAGGAGCTTTTTAAAATACATCAACAGCAGAAAAAGGATCAGAAATAACACTGGTCCACTTCTTGATAAGGTCAGTTTCCTCACAAATAGGGACACAGACAAAGCAGAGATGTTCACTGCCTTCTTCACCTCTGTCTTCAACTCCCAGCCAACTCTGACCTTGTACAAGACCTGCCGCTCCAACTGGATGCACCTAAGTCTATAAGGCCCAATGGTATTCATCCCTGGGTAGTGACAGAGCCAGGCAATGTCATCACAGGACCACTATTAATTTTGGACAGTCTTGGGAGTCTGGAGAGGTCCCAGTTGACTGGAAGCTGGCAAATGTCCCAGTTTTCAAGAAGGGCAAGAAGGAAGGCCCTGGTAATTACAGCCTTGTCACTCTCACTTGAGCTGGGTAAAATTATGGAGAAGGTTATTCTGGGAGTTACTGAAAAATACTTGAGAGAGAAAAGACACATTGGTCACAGGCAGAATGGGTTCATAAAGGAAAATTTCTGCTTAATTTCCTTTTATGACAGGGTCACTCATCTAGTTGACCAAAGGAAGTCAATACATGCAGTGGTTTTGGATTTTAGCAAAGAAAGAGCAATTACCGGATTGTCCACCTGGGATGGGGTAATCCTGCTTATACATAGAAAATGAGGACTTGAGAGGCTGAAGAACAGCCTTGTGGAAAGTGGTCTGAGGGTCTGAGATGATGATAAGTTGAATACGAGTCAACAGGGTGCCCTGGAAGCCTAAAGGGCGAACACTGTCCCGGGATGCATGAAGCATAGCATTGCTAGCTGATCAAGGGAGGTGATAGTTCCACTCTACATCGCTCCACTGTGGCCCCACCTTGAGTACACTGTGTACTTTTGGGTGCCTCAATTTAAGAAGGACTGATTACAGTGTTTCTAGAGGAGGGTGACCAAGATGGTGAAAGGCCTCAAGGACAGGATTTAGGTGGAATGGCTGATGTCACTTGGTTTGTTCAACTTGAAGAAGGCTGATGGGTGACTTCATTCTACAACTTCGTCAAGGGGACAGCAGAATGAGAGATGCTGATCTCTCTATGGTGACCAGTGATAGGACACAAGGAAATGGAATGAAGCTTCACCAAGAGAAGTTCAGATTGTACATTAGGACTACTGAGAGGATGGTCAGTCACTGCAACTGGCTCCCCTGGATCATGGCACTAAGCCTGTCAAGAGTGTCTGGATGATGCTCTTGGTCATCTGGTTTTGCTTTAGGTAGTCCTGCAGGGAGCAGGGAGTTGGACAGGATGATCCTTATGGGTCCCTTCCAACTTGAGATACTCTATTCTATTGCTGTGCAATAACATATATGTAACTTTAATAGAAAGAAGCTTTACTTAAAAAGGTTGGGTTGTGGTTTATTGGGACATTTTTTGGGGGGAGGAGGAGGGGCTAACATTTTAACTTGGGGTTTTAAAGTAATGGTGAAAACTAATCTACTATATATTTGCTACTGCTCTAGAAACCTTCAAAGCATAAGCAAAGGTACAGATTAGTGAACAACATTGAAGTTACATTCCCCCTTGTTCTTTAAGTAAAGGAATATACATCACAAATGCACTGCAGTATATAATATCCCTACCATAAATATAAAATCTGAAAAAAGGGGAGAGGCTATTTTAATGAAGTAATTTACAGAAATTGTTGCAAAATTTCAGTAATTCAGTTAAGTTGTGGCAGTGTAACTGGCCATTAGGTGTCATTGTTGCCACTAAGCTTAATGTTGGTTTATTTAAATTTTCAAGTAGCACCTACTAAAATATATTCCTGTAAATGATTGCTTGCAATATGATTTTCATAAAAGGTCTAGTATTAGTTTTGTACCAAAGATAAGGAATGATTACTACCTTTCCAAAAGCCATATAAGAACCAAGAAATGTAATGTCAGTTCACCAGCATTTTTAATTTCATTGAGTGTCTTGGCTACCTTCTCACTTAAGAATTAAGAGAAGAGTCATTCAGAAGTCAAATATGTAAAGTGAGGCTGAGACTTGGAAGCAAATACAGAGACAGCACACTTGCCATTTTTCCTTTTTGATTCTAGAATTTTTAATACTATCTCATTTAGTGAACCTGTGTTACTGTCACTACTCACCAATTGTTTGAATAATAGCATTCTGGACAATCCTCTCATCACTCTCTTTGGAGCTCGTGCTGAAAGTTCCACTTCCTTTACGGATCCCCTCTCAGGAGAAATCAGATTAAGCTGAAAAGAACAAATGAAATACATTGTGAGGAGGGTATGGCCTAGGGAGAAACCTCTGAAATGTGCCTACAGCCTGGTATTTTAGAAATTACTTTGGATTCAGGAAATGTAGTCAGGTATATATGTGTAATCCATTGCTATCAAGTTGTAACAGGGTCTGGCTGGGATGGAGTTAACTTTCTTCTTAGCAGACCTGGTGCTGCTGTGCTTTGGATTTGTGACCAAAATAATGCTGACAACACATCAGTGTTTTGGCTGCTACTGAACAGTGTTTGCAAGGACCAAGACTTTTCCTGTTTCCCATCCAGTCCCCACGGAGAATAAGCTAGGGTGTGCATGAAACTGGGAGCAGAGACAGACAACAACATCTGACCCAAACTGACCAAAGCCATATTCCATGCCAGATAATGTCATGCTCAGCAATAAAAGCTCAAGGAAAGGAGGAAGAAGGGGGGACATTTGAATGGCATTTGTCTGCATAAGCAACAGCTAGACATGCTGAGACCCTGCTTTCCAGGAAGCAGCTAATCATTTTCCTGTCAATGGGACGTACTGAACAAATTCCTTTGCTTTCCTTGTGCATGCAGATTTTGCTTCACCTAGTAAACTGTCATTATCTTGATCCATGAGACTTCTTATTTTCTTTCTACCTTCTCACTGTTCTATGGGGAAAGGGTAGTGAGCAAATGGAAAGCTGTACAGCAGAAAGGGACATGGGTGTTCTGATTGACAGGCAGCTGAGTATGAATGAGCAGTGTGCCCAGGTCAAGAAGGCAAATGGCATCCTGGCCTGTATCAGAAATAGTGTGGCAAGCAGGAGCAGGGCAGTGATTGTCCCTCTGTAGTCAGCATTGGTGAGGCCACACTTCGAATACTGTGTCTTATTTTGGGCACCTCAAGACAGGAAGGACACTGAGGTGCTGGAGCGTGTCTGAAGAAGGGCAATGAAGCTGGTGAAGGGCCTTGAGAACAAGGCTTATAAGGAATGGCTAAGGGAACTGGAGCTGTTTAATCTTGTGAAAAGGAGGCTGAAGGGAGACCTCATTGCCCTCTACAACTACCTGAAAGGATGTTGTAAAGAGGTAGGTGCTGGTCTCCTCGCACAAGTAACTCACGATAGAACAAGAGGAAATGGTCTCAAGCTGCACCAGGGGAGGTTTAGACTACACATTTGGAAGAACTTTTTCACTGAAAGGGTTGCCAGACATTGGAACATGGTGTCAAGAGAGGTGGTTGAGCCACCGTCCCTGAATGTGTTTTAAAGTCATCTAGATGTGGTGCCTGGCGACATGGTTTAGTGCTGGTGTTGGTAAAGTAGGGTTAATGGCTGGACTTGATGATCATCAAGGTCTTTTCCAACCTAAGTGATTCTGTGAAAGGAGATGAGCATGTGTAAGTAATTGCAAATGGAGTAAGATTTCAAGCATTTTATCAGCATAAAGAACAACAACAACAACAAATAATCCTCAAATACAGTTTCATTCGGTCTGAGAACAAAGCAAAAATGAGCACGACCCTTCAAATCTCTCCTTTCACCTGATGTCACTGATTTAGACAACTTACCTATTGATCCTTTAGCTGCTATTGCAACTGCTTCTAAAAGAACCTGAATAATGCCAGCACGAACTCTTGGTGAGTCCCTTTTGCGGAAATCCAGGTGTCCAAGAATTTCTTGTATAACATGATGGGAATATTGTGCCTATTAAAAAGCAAGCAGACAGCAAAAAAGCTTTATCTGTAATTTTAATAACAATACATTTCTACGTCATTGGAGTCATAACCGTGTTCCCATTTTGCAACCTTCTCACTCACAATTTTATCTAAATTTAAATCAATTCATGATTAAATACAGATTTTTAAAAAAACTATCATGAGAGATGAAGGCACACAGGTCCATCCAGAACAGTATATGAGAGCTTACACTATTAAAATATCCAGGAACATCTACAAAAAAAAAGAGGCAGCATGAAGTGGTACTTCATTCATCTAACCAGAGGTGAAGGACTTCAGCTCCTCTTAGAAAACATGCCATGGATACAAACACTAAAAAAACAGCTCTCTTCCACAAACTGGAATTTTATGACTTTATCTTTTGGGTATCTGTGCTTGATGAATCCAAGAATCAGATTTTCACCATGTTTATAACAGATGATACAGGCTGGCCACTAGTAAAAAAAAATTAGCATAACACAGTTCCATGTGAACTTGGTTTCTTCGGCTGTAAAAGCAATAGAGACGTATTGGCACCAAGCTGTGACCAACATAAGAGAGTGTCCTTTATGAAGCACAATGTCAGATCCGTGTGGCCATCCTGCTCCTTGTTCTGGAGCTTGCCTAGGGACCTCTGCACTTAGTATCTTTTTTCCAAGCATTAATTAATTGAAAACAAATCAGAAAACTCCTGATCACCAACCACAATTAGTTTACTATTTGAAGAAATTCAGAACAAGGCTTAGGAGTTGTGGTAAGAGATCTTCTGGATTCTTTGATTTCATTTATTTTCATTATCACAGTGAAGTGAGCATTTAACCCTGTCTCAAGTGCTCAAAATGTGTTTACAAAGAAAACAAACCGAGGAGAAAATCCTACCTGTATAGAATACATGATGATTTTGAAGCAGGAAACAGCAAACTCATTGGGATCCCATAGCCTATGATGGTCTAAATGTCTGCAACCAAAAAATTGAGGAGTCTAAAATAACGACATTCTCCAGATATAAAAAATGGCACCTAATAGTTTTCTCTCAAAGGGATTATTTTCTTACATAAAGCTTCTACACAATTACTTATTACCTAGATCAGAAAACTAGAACTTCAGCTATGCCTTTGATTTCAAGGTTTAGGATGTGATCACAACATTTTTATCTATAACAGGAATTCCCAGTAGTTAATTTGAGGATTTTAAGGAATCCAGTCATATCAAAGTCATATAGTTAAGAATATACTGTCTCCATACAAACTGTATGCATAAAAATGGCTGTGACACAATATGCTTATTTACATGAAAGAGACACACTGAAGGGAATGGTTATAACACCTTGATAGACTTTTTTTTTTCTAAATAAAATACACAATTTGTTTTGAATCAGGAGATACAAAACAGTTAAGGCTGAATGTTCTATCCATTATAGGAACTCTTTCATTTTCATAGCAGTTTAATGAATAATATATAGATATAAATGAACAATATATTTAAACAAAACAGAGCTATCCTTTGTGTATATACTCCTTTATCACTCTGAAGCATTTCAACACTTTCTGCAAGAAATATCAAAACAGAATCAGAATGATAAATGCATTGGTTTCTCTTTAAATAGGACAGGAACTACCGCTGAAAAATTTTATCACAAGCAAAGACCAGAAATTCTGCTTAAGTAGTACAATACTGCAAGTTATTAATAGGGCACACACCAAACTTTCCAAAAAGGAGATCTGAGTACCTGAGAAAACATGACAAAAATAAATGCATTTTTAAATCTGAAAGATTGATACAAGTAATTTGGGATGCCTTTTAACTGGAGTGATTTAGGTAAAAGGAAAAACCAAATGCACAAAATCAAAACAAACCCCAAAACCCACAAGCAAAGTTTCCTACAGAAACAGAATTTAGATAGTGTTTCTAAATAGGTATCTCAGCTACAGAATCACTGCCGGTCTGCCCTTTATCTAGGATTATAGTAAACATATAAAGATGCTTCAAGTAACAAACTTAAAAGCATACAGGTGAAAGAAATCAGGACTACAAACATAGGAGGAAACACTGGAAGCTTTAACTTATATTGCCTAGAATCTGGAGGTGTCAATTAACTCACTGCTGCCAGCTTAGTGACCCAGCTGAGTACACAGCTCTCCTTCAAGGTTGATTAAACCAGCTGGCATAAAGCTACCCTGTCCTGTGCCCTAAATTATCTTGTAGTCCATTGCAGAGCTCAAAAAAATATCCTGCCATTTATTTTTTTTTTATGCATTACATCCCTTTAATGGAAATCCTACAGGCAAGAATTTCAGCAATTTTAACAGTATTTCTCTGCCAAGCTAACAGCATATTTGCATTACTAAATATTAAACTGGACTACCTGTTGGGGATAGCTGCCATTTTTGCACACACTCCAAGCACACAGGTAATGTTTAATCATGTCTTGGGCTAGAAAGACAAAGTTACCTCTTTAAATCCTTCAAGGCTTAGCGCATCATAATGTATTTACTCATGTCTTCTTTACTCCTAATGTCATTCCAGTAAAGTTCATCATTTCTTGTACACGATAGCTTATTTTAGCTAAACTATTTTTTTTTTTTTTGTCTCACCAAATACAAAATCATACTCTTCACCATTTTCTCCTGACTGGATCTGATCCCTTAATCTTTCAGGGTAGCATGTGTTCTCTGTCGCCCTTGAGACTTCATCTTTACCTGTCCCAAAGATCCATTCAGGCAGATTATGGTCAACTATAACTTAAATCAAGCTTTTTTTAAAAAAAAACTTTCCTCTCAAAGCAAGATGTACAGTTTAAGTTTTCCTGAAAGGCAAAGTATTAGCCGCTTCAAGTAGCTGAACTGATAAGAAGACATCAGGGGGAAGATGACCGCCGAGGTTAATGTTTTGCGCAATAGCTCAATAGGCAGCATACTTTGTATACTGGAATTTTGCTCCCAATAAAAGAATTATTACCACAGAATCAGAGAATGTCTTCGTTGGAAGGGACTTCTGAAGGTCATGTAGTCCAACACCCCTACAATAAGCAGGGACATCTCACACCACTAGAGCAGATTGCTCAGAGCCCCATCAAGCCTGACCTTGAATGTCTTTAGGGATGGGGCCTATTCTATAATTACGTTGTATATTTTTCTCCTTCTAGCGTAGCCAGTGTATTCAATATAGTTCTTTTCTTGTACAAGACGGTAAATGGTATTTTCAGCATGGTGCATTTAGTTTCATTACAATCAAGTCACATCTTGCCTATTTTTTTTCCCAATCACATTTCTTTCAACAAACTTTGCCCTCCGTTAATATCTGCTGCATATCTATGTAGCAAATGTGTTCTCAAATTGAAAGTGCAATGGACTCACTATCTCAAACTTGCACTCTACCAGTTCTGCTCACTCACAAAGTGAAGCAGATTAGATAGAGCATTCCCTTTTTGTTCAGGAAAAACAGCTTAGAAATTGCATTTTCTACATCTCTTGCTCCTTCAAAAATACTTATAAACAGACAGGAATGTAAATTTTTTAAGTAGGAAAGCATGAAATTTTTTTAATAAAACACTCAACTTTGCAACAGTTACAATCCTATCAGATTGGTGTAACAGCTACAACTGGAAATGAAGTCATAGCAGTCCTTTGCACTTAATGCTATTAGGAGAAAAAGAAGGGAGCTTCAAGAGTTTTCTGCCCTCAGTAACCACCCCACCTTCTTTCTGCATTTCTGTTTTTACTTAACAGTAAGCAACTTGAAAATCTTTCAGTGTATCAATGGAATACTCAGTCTTCCTGGGAAGAACAAGGGAATCTTAGAGAAGATTTTTCCCTTAACAGGAGGCCGTCTTGAAAATCTACAAGGATCAAATCATATTTTGTTTTCAAATCATATTTTGTAAGGAAGCAACTGGGGCAATGCAGAGAAAATTCTGGACTTGATAGTTAATACACCAGCTCTTAATTGTACTGTGTGCAACCGTGCAGAGTGTGCACATTGTGTGAACATCTGCCATTCATTACTTAATGAGCCAACAAACATATTCCTTACAGAATATCAAAACAGGTTTTGGGAAGAAAACTTCAAGGAAGTAGAAATTTTCACTTTTTGTATTAATCTGGGCACAGTATCCCTTTGTGCTACTTGTATTTTACTTGGCTTGTCTCTTCACTGACTGTAACAGTCATGAACAAACAGTTTCACACTCAAAAGAAAGGCCAGCTGAGGCAACAACCCATCCAAATAATTAGGTAGTACATCTAAAATCAGTAGAATGGGATACACATCTCTCCATAACTATCTTGAAGGCAACAGGAAACAAAGAACTGAGATCAAAAGAGGGGCAATTTTTTTATAGAAACATGAGTAACTGTCAGTAAAATCCCCTGGGTTGAAAAGAAGAAAGGAACTTAATGCAACATAATTAGAAGATGAAATAGATTTTTAAAAAATAATCTCTGAAGATAAAACCTTCCAGGAATTTCCAACTTACGCGAAAACTGGTCTGACAGCATTATTCATATTTCCGTAGGTTGCTCGTCCCAGTAGCTCCCTGAAACAGTTCTCAGCCAGCACAGCAGGATTCTCCTCTTTCTCTCCTCCTGTAGGAGAGGATGGAGGGCCTATTCTGCTGAAGTAAGACAAAAATACATTGATTTGACTACTGATGAATATCCATCTTCCTTACTGTATAAACCCTTGGTTCTACAATGCTCATGAGTCACACTCTTGAGTTAGGCAAGAACTGTATCCCAAATATGCGTAAAACCAAAAATCTGAATAAAATATTTTATTCTGCGTTTGAGAACAAGACAGACCCTTTTGCTAAATTTAACAAAAGGAATGCAGTCCTGCCAGTCTGCCTGCTCCCTACAGAGGGACTGTCTTGCAAAAGCCAGCAGGCTAAAACACTGTTTCTTACATCAGATAAAGAGCAGGGGCAGAAGGAACAGACCATTGCGCTAGCCAAGGTATTGGCCAATGTAGCCTCTGGCACCTGGCCTGGACAACTTGACTGCAAACTTGATGGCCATTACTTCTGGAACAGGACCAGAATTCTGTGGTCTGGGATTGTTAGTGATAAGCCAAAACTATGGAAACAATGACACCTGCATCAAGAGCAAGACTCGTCCTTTTCCTGTCCACTCTCTTAATTAATAAGTAATGCGCCTGTGAAGGTACCAGTCAGAAAATTATAATGACCTAGCCCCATCTCGTCTCCAAGTATAAACTAGTCTGAGAATCCTCTGTTTTTCAGAAGAAGAGCACATCAACTATCCAGATGGGTCAGTGGGCCTGAATCCTCTCTTCTCCCCCCTTAAGGAGAACTCTTTTTGGTAAAATTTGCACCTCTGACTTTGCCAGATGTTTCATGTTGTCTTTACTATCTTGCCCCACATCTATGCAGCCAGTAGATCAATTTGCAGCCAATTTATCAACAACTATCCAGAACTTGTTCAACTGCTGCATCAGTAAATGACCTTAACTTCCCTTTTAAACTGTCTCAGTGAAAGTTCTTGTTAGGACTCTGAGGGGGGGGCAAAGTGCTTCAAGGAAAATCCTTTTGGTGGGACCCTGAAGCAGCAACTTTGCAAAACTGTCTAAGTCCAAGTTTTTGTGGGACTCTGCGACAGGCAAATGTTGTCCTTTTTGTGTGACATTCTTTTATAAAACTATCAATCTTTATCTGTTCATATAGTACTGAACACTGGATTAGTAAATATGCATGTGGCAAAACCAATGGCTGTTAATACTGATTTGATTTGTTAACTTGCATTTTGACAAACTATTACTCATTCCTAACAATGAGTAAAGGCCATGAAACCAAGCAAAAAGTTAGGCAGAATCTTAGTCATTTTGTTCAGACAGATCTCATTCACCTGCCCACTACTGAATCCACACTGCGTGGCTGAGTGTTAAATAAGACTCCAACACATGTGCAGAAACAGATGGCTCCTGAGTTGAAAAAAAAAAAAGTAAGACTGAAATAATCAGAACATTATCACCCACACAGCTACCTCTAACTAGATGCTATAGAAGTTACAGAATCACAGAATTGTTCTGGTTGGAAGACACCTTTAACATCATCAAGTCCAACACTACCAAGTCCACTGCTTAAACTATGTTTCTAAGCACCACATCTACATGGCTTTTAAAGATTATCTGCTCCATGACCCTCCCGGGCACTGAGGTCAGACTGATAGGTCTATAGTTCCCTGGATCCTCCCTTTGGCCTTTCTTTGTAGATGGGGATAACAGTTGTCAATCTCCAGCCTACTGGGACCTCCCTGGTTAGCCATGACTGCTGGTAAATGGGGTAAAGTGGCTTGGTGAGCACTTCAGCCAGCTCCCTCAGTACCCTTGGGTGTAATCCATCCGGCCCCATAGACTTATGCATGTCAAAGTGTGCAGCAGGTCGTTAACTATCTTCTCTTGGATTACAGGAGTTTCAAACAGCTCCCTGTCCCTGTCTGGGTACCCAGAAAACAACTGGGCCTACTCCTAAAGACTGAGGCAAAGAAGGCACTACGTACTTCAGCCTTCTCCTCATCCCTGATCACTATATATCCTTCTGCATTCAATAAGGGATAGAGGTTTCTCCTTAGTTCTCCTTTTTTTTGTTAATGCATTTATAGAAGTGTTTCTTGTTATCTTAAGACAGCTGCAGCCAGGCTGAATTCAAATTGGGCTTTAGGCCCTCTGATTCTCTCCCTGCATAGACTCATGACAGTTTTTTAGTAATTCTGAGTGGCCTGCACCTTTTCCCAAAGGCCATAAACTCTCCTTTTCACCCTGAATAGCAGCCAGATCTCTTTATTCAGCCAGGCTGGTGTCCTTCCTCCGCAGCTCATCTTTTGGCACAGGGGAACAGCCTGTTCTTATGCCATTAACACTTCCTTCTTCAAAGATGGGAGGGAGAGGAAAGCAGCAATGGTGAGGTTAGAATTTATTACTACCACAGCTATTGTTTCTTCTGGTGCTAAAATACATACACGTATGACTTAATTGAAAAAAAAAAATAAAAAAATCTCTTAAATTAAGAAAGTAAGTCTGCATTTAAATATTGACTTCATTTCATATGGAAATTTTAACTTATGGCTTAATAAAACTTGCCACAAAAAGCAAGGCTTTAATGTTTTATAGCAATTACCAAACTTTGTAAAGCTCAAATACTGCCATCTTCAGTTTCTTCTTTTCTCTTGCTGACTGGGAAACAGGCTATTCAAAACCAACATAGAACAAAAAGAGGGATTCAAGACAGAATCCAGACACTAGGGAAGCAAAATACAGAAACTACAGACTGTTTTGCACAAACTAAAACCTTTTGAGGACTGAATTCCACCACTGAGCTTTGAAGGGAATAACCTGTCTTCACTTTGAAATACCTAAAACCAGCACCTGCACTGTAAACAGTGAAAGGCAGAGCCTTTCCAGGAGAGTTTCACATTTCCCAGTTCTCATTTTAGAAGCATGGCCTTGGTAATGTTTTTTGGTTCTTTTTTTGGGTTGTTGTTTTTTTCTTTTTCTTTTCAAGTCACCTCCTTTACAGCACACAGAGACCTGAATTAGTAGAGCAAATTAAAGGCATCTGGAATGTATTTCTGAATTTAAGTGCTTCACACATAACTCTGTTAAGCTGTTACTAATACTTATAGTAGAATACATATAATAGAAACTTAAGTGACAATTCACTTACACAATTCATTACACAATAAACATTGGGAAATTTATTTTAGACTGCAGAAATCAGAACACTAAAGCCTTAATCATGCTTTCAGTTCTGCAATGCAAGCTTGTGCATTAAATATGTTCAGAAGTGTTCACTATGAGCATCAGCTTCAGTTAACGTTCACTCAGCAGCATCACAAAATCATAGCTTTAGAGCATTATAGAAAGGTCAGATATTGAAATGCCACATGTCAAATGAGCATGTTAACATCACAGCAGTAATATCTTCTGATAGCATAAGATCTTCTAGAGTTTCAACACTACTGCAATCTAAAAGTTGAAATATCCTGTTGCCTCTGGTAACATCAGTGTTTCAGAAGTTACCATAACATTGCTAGCTTGTCAGATTTTAATAATAAAAAAGCCCCAGGGACCTCTGTTAGATAAGGATAAATAGATTTAAAAATGCACAATGATTAGAGTTTAAAAAGGCATGACAATTTGTATATAATCCACCATGAGAAACACTAGACTGTAGCTTTATCCAATTGCTGTGCCCCTTGATCTCTCTGTTTTCCTTTCCAGTACTGCCTAGATTGTGATCTAGACAGATGGGCATCCTTGTGCAGGGAAGGCACGAAAGACAGGGCAGGACTGTTATTCCCATTGCTGTTTTGACAAAGATTCCCTAGAACACAGCAGCACTATAAAGTTGGGTGGGCCAGGGGAGGGGGAAGAAAGCAGGCTGCCAAACACACACACACACACAGATAATCTAACTGGAAAAATGCTAGTTAAAATGAAGTAAAAATAAATAAATAAATAGATAGATAGATAGATAACTAAATAAATAAATTATATGTAGTCCCACAGAAGGTGACTTATCTGCACTACTTGGAGACTTATTTTAGAAGAAACTAAAGGAAAAAAAAAATACAATGCAGTCTTAGTCTAAAATGTTAGTCTTAGACTGTGTCAGAATGTTCAAAATTATCTCCCATTGTCTGTAGGAACCACATTTTTATTTTAAACTAACAGCACCTGCCTCTAAGGATTTCTCACTAAATGTTCCTTAGCATTATCAGATGAAAGACAATATAAGACTACTCTTTTTGGTTTTAAAGGAAAGCTTTGTACAGCCTTTCAAGTTTCATTTCACTGGATTTTAAACAAAGATCAAAAACCTCTGACAAATCCAGCTGCAACAGTTAAAAAAAAATAAATTACTACTATTCCTCAGCATCCAGGCTTTCTCTACTACCACAACTCCAAAGGAGTGAAACATGAAATGTCTTTTGCAATGAAATGCACAAGACCAGGTCCCTTTAGGTGTTCTAACAGCTTTCTTGTGTGTAATCTCTATCAAGTGGCAACAAGGAACTGGAAGGGGGGGAGTTTTGTGGTACAGAAGTTTCCATAGGAAACATCTAATTAGGATTAAACTGGCTGAAAGCAACTCAACATTTCATGCATGAGACTTCTTAGTACCAAAAAAACAGGATTGGCCAAAAAATATGATGGGACATGCTCACTTCTTGTGAGCTACAGGAACATTTGACAACAATTCACTTACTCAGAGAAAGAAATACATTCTAATCTACCTCTAAACCAGCATTTATATGTACATTACGGATATATTGGAAGGATTTTAAGTTAAGTCTACAATGAGTGCTAGAGTGGCTTTCTGCCTTAAGCAAGGCTGGCACTTTCAGCTTTGCAGTTACCAGGAAGAGTGTGTTACTAACTAAGTGAATTTCCAATGTCATACATCCCTTCCCCATTTTAAAGATGTACATAAATTGATAAACATGACTGACTCTTCTAAATTTTCTTCTGGAAAACTTGAAGGAGGGAGGAAGAGTTTTTTGGGCAATGCCTTATACTATACTGAAGTACAAACAACAATTATTTTGTAATATAGAATCCCACTGAAATACAACTAAGAAAAAATGTGACTTTCAGAAAGTTGCACTTGCAGATTTGTCTGACAGTCACATAACTAGAATGTGTATTCAGATATACAGAGAAATAATGACATCCACAAATACAAATGGATGTTAAAAATGTTGTTTAAATATTAAATTCTTATCTCCAAAGAGTCTCATTTGACGTGCTTAGAAGAATCTTGAACTACATTATTAAGGTTCCACAATTAAAATTACAGTGATCTTTAAGGTATGTCTTATGTATGTATACTTCAGCTTTAACCACAAATAGTTATTTTCTATGGACTTAAGTATGGGATATTTTCTGGAATTTCTGCTCTTTTCCAAATACTGCTTTGATTCCATCTGCCAGAACAATATTTTTCTTACTCCTACTCTTCAAGATGTCTTTCTTTGTGCTCCACAAATGTGAAGTCCCATCTAAAACAAGACAAGAAAACTCTCTGTAACATTATTTAAGGCCAGCAGATCAACTATTTATAAATACTGTTTTCAGCTTTTCTGTCACATGTGCATCATACAAGGCCCCTTCTTGCCACTTGGAAAACAATTTTTCTTTTTTTCTGCTGAAAATACATTATGAAAAAAGTTTCAAGCAGCCAGTTCGGATAATTAACAGTTGCTTTTTTGACAGATTTGTTTTTCTACCACCACTACTGCACTGCTCAACAGATGACAAAAATTAGCCATGCAGTACATATAAACTGATCTGCTGTAAGTGGTTGATTCAAATACTATTTAAGTCAGTTTTTTCATCATTTCCATCATGCTATCATTTTGCCATGTAAAGCAAAGTATATGCTTGAGGGCCCTCTGAAGAGTAACAACGGAAACGGCCCACCTGCTTCTAGAAGCCCTGAAAGAGCAAATTCTAACTAGGTGCTCTGTGCTCAAACAGCAGTTTCAAAAACCTTAGTCTCTTATTCATATCACTCTTCAGATGTAAAGTCCAAGCACTTATTTCTGTATTTACAGTGTGGGCCCTGGGTTATATGCACTAGATAGATAAAGCATGGACAGAAAGATAAGTAGTGATTTTATTGATTTAGTATGAAATATTTGCTTTAGAGAACAGACAAGTAATGACAGAAATAAGAGAAGAAAAATAAGTCTGAAGAATGGGGAAAAAAACAACAAACAACAAGAAAAAAGAATCAACCAAATAAAGCCAACAACAACAAAAGAAAAAAAAACAAAACAACAAACCAAAAACCTAACCAAAAAAGAGAAAGGAGATAGGTCTGGCAGTGTGTCACATGAAAGCATGAAAAGAGTTTTGCTGGAGCAAGGCTTGTGACCCTACTCACCAAGCAAGTTTTGAAGCAGCTAAGGTTGGACGTGAACATTTAAGCTTGTTTGCATCACTGAAGTTGGTTTTACAAAAATTTCCTAATGCTACCAAGAAACACTTTCTACAACTACACAGTGTTAGGCACAAGTACAGACACAGACAAAAAAAGAGGCAACTTTTCTATTGTAAGGTGATGGGTATATCCTCAACATCAATCACACAGATCTTTTCTGAAGATATCTGGCAAGTAATATGCCTAGAAGTTATTGAAATAAATAAATTTTGAATCTTCACTTTAAGTCCTCTTGCAAATGGTTACATGGGAATTCAAAACTTATTATAATGGTTAAATGGGAATTCAAACCTTATTAAAAAAAAAAAAATACAAGTAGCACAATTATTTCAGTCACCTACAAACCTGTGCTTACCAATGTAATATAGTAAAAAAAAGGGTTTACAATTTTTAAGATGTCCAAACATGGCTATACAATTTCCAAAGCAATTCTTAACACTGATGAAATCTAGAGCTAGTGAAATGTATGGAGTTGAAAAGATTTTAAGACAACACTAAGCACAGTTAAGCAGAGCTGTGCTATTGTTTTGAGGAGACTCAGTTAGTAAACATGAGTAATTATTTCCAATAAAAAAGAAAATAAAAAGATATTTCATAAAAAAACTAAGTCTAAAGATTGCTTAAAAACATGCCAGTGACCATAAATAAAAATACCTGTCGATATCTTCTATTTTCTGCATATTAAACAGCAACGATGGTACTATCTTGTCCATGTGCTGAGGTTCCCATATAGTTGCTCGGAGTTCATCATTAACTGTTTTTCGAACCACTCCCTGAATGCCCCTGATTCCAGCAATTCGGATCCTAAGGAAGGAAAAAAAGAAATTACTGAAAAGGAGAAACAGAGCACCTCCTTGTCTAGTTGTTTTCCTATTAGGCAGCAGTGATTACATAGTGTGGAATTGTTCTCACAAACAATGATTTGAAAATTTGGCCAATTAATCAGAGTTGCCCGTATTGTCTTCAAACATCGTTTAAGCTCAGAAGGAAGCTGACAAAACAAACAGCTGAACAGAAGCATCTGATCTGTAAGGATAATGCTGACACTGATCATTGAGTACTCAGATTGTGTATACCACCTTCAGAAGAAAGTCACATGAGCGAAAACTCACCAACCCTACACAAATTAACAGCCACCAGTTGAAAGTGTGAGAAATCACAACCTATTCCATTGCAGAAGAAAAAATGTTATGAAGTTATTACAGCAAAGCTGAAGCAGTAGCTAACACGATCCTGTGATCATGGCCTTAAAGGTTCCAGTTAGGACTGCGGACTACGTGAGAAAATGTTAAAGATTTGTGCAAGATTCACAAGATGGAAAGCAAAGGATAACTCTTGTCAACTTAAGCCTGATGCACAAAAGGAACAACCGTTTTAATCCTAAAACCATTTGAACCAAGTGGGAAATTATGGGAAATTATGAACAATAAAACAATAAAAAGGAAAAAATAATGTAAGTTCTAAAAAACTTAGTCTAGTTGTTAAATATTTTCATTATTCTGTTGAACAAAAACAGTTTGCAGGGGAATCTACAAAATGAAATGAATGGTGAAATACTCTTTTTTGAAGCAATAATATTTCGAAAACTAATAGAATAAAGAGTGATACTGTCAGCAAGTTAAATAAGCACAAACTTAATTAAAAATTGAAATTATTTTTAATAAAATTAATCTGTTATCTTTTAAATCTTAATTTCAGTATGGACAACACATAACTAACCTTTATTCAGTCACATTTGCTGCATGAAAGCATTTGCTAGATGAACTGCAGAGCTATATGAACTTGCTCAGATATATATCTTTGCTCAGATTCCCTGAGGTAAATACTTAAACCTGTAGCCCCATGTTTTTCAGCAATTTCTGAGGAAAGTCATGTGCATTCAATATGGATCCCATAACATTCTATCCTTTCAAGACAGTTTTATTTGGGTTACATACAAAATAGCAAAGAGGAGGGATGCACAAGCAGCTAGAAGAACATTTGATACTGCTGTTCAATGACAGTGCTTCAATTACAGTATCCAATGTTAAGCTTTGAATATTAAGCATCTAAGATGGACATTTAAGACACAGAGCTTCCAAAATCCCATTACTGAAACTTTTTTTTTCTTTTTAATTATTAGTTCTAAAGGCAATCAAGTTTTGTTGATGCTGTGGTTTTAGATAAGTTAAATACTAGCACTAACCTCCCCTACTCTAAGGGATATCTCAATTATCAGGTGAGATGCAGTTTCAGACTCAGAAGCCTACATCACCTGCCTGCCAGTGTAGATGATGTTCAAGCTCCCATTCCAGCCAGCATTTCAGTAGAAGCTCTATCTAGGCAGATAAACAGTGACTCCAGATGTCTGGTTTCGGATGAGCTGAACTACTCCCTAGCCCCCACCAATAGCATTGACTACTTCTGGTATCTGCATTTAGAATTTTAATCTGTAGTCGTAGCTCAGCTGTTTTGTTGAATTATATCAGTACCTACAGCAAATCTGGTATGTCAACTCCAAGAACGATTGGTGTTCATAAAGATCTCTTTCAAAAGAGATTACTGAATCACAGAATGGTTTGAGTTGGAAGAGACCTTAAAGATCATCTAGTTACACCCTCGCTGCATGGACAGGGACACCTCCCACTCAGAGTCCCATCTAACTTGGCCTTGAACACCTCCAAGGAGGGGGCATCCACAATTTCTCTGGGCAACTTGTTCCAGTTTCTCATCACCCTCACAGAAAATAATTTCTTCCTAATGTCTAATCTAGACACATTCAAATAGTCTAGGATGATGTCATAAAAGTAATACTGCTATACATTTAATTAAATTGGGTAAAAAAATTATTCTCATGCAGAAAAAAAGGCCACACCCCTGTGCATTGGGGTGCCACTAGCACTAATTTCATGTTCTTACTACAGCACAGGTGGCCAAAAAATGATGGTTGAAACACTGAGGAAGGTGAAGGATCAAATTTCACTATATACAGGTGAAGATTCATTCCTCTACAGAAGTCTCAGATGGGTATGAAAGTCAAGATTACATTTAAATCAAGGTAATGTACATTCTTATGGCACTAGGATGAACTTCCTCCCTGTCTAAGGGTACATCAACATTGCCAGCTGAAGCACAGATAATGGTGCAGGTTGATAATTTGAAGAGCAAAAGATTAGCACAATTCTTACTCCTATGGCAATCACAGCTTTGAGGCATTTTAGTTTGTAGTATCCTTACGAGTGGTAGGTCATATTTGATAAGAGATGTACTGGTCTCTTAATTAATTCCATGTTCTAGTTTATTATTAGTATTACCTCCCATTTGCAAAGGGCAATGAAGGTGAAAGTAGTTCTAAAAATCCTGAACTGAGCTTCACACCCCAACCTCTTATAAAATCTTGTACTGTAAGTAAGCAGTTTAACATTTTTGGTTTAGTTTCACTAAGCCTAAAAAGGAAAAATCTCTAGAAGTTCATTAAAATATTTATGAATACTATTTGAGGCCATCATCTTCAGGTAAATATACTGTATCTGACAGAAGCCTAAGTTACGACTTAGTTGCATGATTCACTGGCTTCACCAGTGACACTTGCTTAAGAAGTTTCTATCACCTTTCTCCTTTGGTCCCTGAGTATAATTCAGTTCTTTCCCAAACAATTCACAAGGTCATCCTGTAAAACCATTCACTGGAATAATCTTCCTAAAGGGAAAGGTGGTGGGGCAGGGGACAAAGTACAGGAGTAGCAGGCAGATTTAATTCCAACCATTTTAGAGACCAATTTTACATAAGAGGTCTATGTATCATTTGGGCAACAAATAAGATGGCAGCAAATTACAAAAAAAATGAGGAATTAATCAGAACACTAAAGAAGGAAATAATTTTTTAGGGTTTTGGGGGGTTTTGGTTTGTGGGTTTTGTTGTTTGGTTTGTTTTTTTCTTTTTTCTTTTTTTTCCTCCTAAGCCTGTACAGTGTTAATTCTTTTTAAATATACAGTTCACAGATCTTTGAAACTTCAAACTTTAAGAAAAATCCTTATATATTGCAGCTAACATAACAACAGTACACCCAAAGGGTTGTATTCTCATAGTTGGCTGAACAATTTAATGCATGGAAATAGAAAAGATGACTACAACAGAGATGCAAATATCATCTGAAAAGCCTTAACTTTTCTGAAATGCTCAGGAGTTAAACACCAATTAACAATTCATATGAACACATCACTAGGGGGAGCTGAAGTAAAAAAAAAATGTGGTGCTTACACACCCCTGTAAAAATCTGCAATACTAATTCATGAAGGCATTTCAGATTCACACACAGCATCATACTGCAGATATCTATGAAAAATCAATTTTAATGACCAGTTGTCAAACAGCAGACTCAAAATATGCTTTCACTAATCACATAAGTAGCCCCATTAATTTATCAAATGAGTTATGTAACTTGCACACATTTGCAGTAATAATTAGTGCCTTTCTGGACAGAATCCATGCAATCTGGCAGGCATTCCTCATGTAAAATTCCACTTAAATATTCTAGGAGTTCCAGCCACCTATGATTTGCAGCATTTGGTGCTATTTGAAAAGTCACACATTCATGTTTTTCCTAGGGAATGAAGAATATAAGCATGTTAAGACAGTTTTCTGTAATACATACAGAATGGCACTTACTCAGTTTGTATTTCTGGATCATGGTCACATGAATGACACATGGCACTGAATCGAGACACAAAGAAGTCATAGCGCCTGTGATATGAAGGTGTATCTTCCTCAATGTTGGCAAATTTGACAAACTGGAAAATGAAATGTTACAAAAGCTTTAGATGACAGTTTCCCAAATGAGAATAATAAGCACTAAGCTTTGTTTAAGAAGTAATATAACACATTGCAATAAGAAAGGATTAAATATTTAAGCAAAGAAAAATGCAAATTGAAGAGGGTTTTTTTTTGCCAAGCCTTTCCACTGGAGCATCATTCAGATCATTATGAAAGAGGGTAACTGCATCAAATACAGCATACTATGTAATATGGAAACATCCAGCACGTGAATAGTGAATGTCAACAAGTCATAGAATCATAATAATTCAGGTTGGAAAAGAACTTTGAGATCATCAGATCCACCACTAAACCATGCCCCTAAGCACTACATCTATATGTCTTTTAAATACCTCCAGGGACTTACCAAATTTAAAGGGAAATAAACCCAGAGGCACCTTGTCAATTCTGCCTATTTCTTACAACAGGGGTAAAGGAGGAGTTCTGGGAATTATAACCCAGTCAACTTTAATTACATTCACAGAAAGATACTCTGAATAAAACCCCTAAATTGCAGACAGCTACAAAGTAACAAATGGGTAAGTAACAGTCAACATGGATTTCTCAAGAACAGATCACATCAACCCAGCCTAAATTATTCCTTTGACAAGAAAGTAGACTTTGTAAATCCAGATGAAGCAGCATCTGTCATATCTTAAATTCAGTGATGCTCAAAAAAATACACAACATTCTCAAAGGGAAGCTACAAAAATCCTGTCAAAAAAATACTCCACGTAAGATAGATGCAAAAGGGTCTGGAAACAACTTGTAAATCATCAAACTACAATAACGTATTGAGTGAATTTCTGAAGGGGCCTGTCTGGAATACAGTAGTATTTGAGTTTCACTAGAGACTTAGATGACAGGGTGGACTCATCAGATTTGCAAAGAACACTAAGCTGCCCAGAGAGCTACAGGCATGCTTGATGCTTGATTCTTTACAAACTGAAAACGGGACATGAAAAATCAAGGAAGCAATATAAGAATGACAAATATAAAATACCACTTTAAAACTGCAGTACAAATAGAAGCCAGATACAGCTGAATGCAGAAAGAAACGCAGAGCTATAATAAACTGCACATGCAAAAAGCGTCAATGTCTTTATATTGGCATGGAAAAGAAAACAATATACTGTGATACATCTGATTACCCGTTACACCTATAAAGAAATTTTTGCCATCTAACTCACACTAGTAAGTTCTTAGGTGAAGTACTGGATCCAGTTGAAGCATCACAGCTAAAGATGGTGATTAACTGATACAATCCTTCAGTTATTCCAGAGATGAACAAAGCTTTAGACAAACACCTATTAGAAAAGCCTGAAACACATTATATTACCTAGTCCAGAGCTGATTTAACATTGTTAGTCTTAAAATGTATAGAAGACAGTAATAAAAACCAAATAAATAAATTGTCTTCTTTGTCCAGTGGTAATATGAAAAGCAATAATTGGCTTACACTGAAGCAAAGACTACTTAAGACAGATGTTCAAAAACCCCTCTTTTCTAAAGCAAGCAGTCTGCCTGAAGTTCTTCTGGATTATCCATCACTGACAGTTTTAAGAACAGACTACAGAGAGAAGAAAAAAGGGAAAGGGAAGGTTGTCAGGACAGGTTTAACATAGTGCTAGTTCTGCCCTGAAGCAAGATGCCCCATTAAGATGGGCAAGATGCCCCATTAAGATGGGCAAGATGCCCCATTAAATCCCTCCACTTTTTCCCACTGCAGTATTCCTTCACCAATTGCTAAGCAAAGGCTGAGTCTTTTCTCATACAATTACTGAGATGCAGAACCTGCTTTTATCAGCACATTACCCACAGACATCTAGACATGCTCAAAACACTTCAACATAATCTACAGCACACACATTTGTGAAGGTTTTAAGGTAGTTTTCAAGCTGAAAGTTTTCAGAAAAAAAACCCACAAGTTTTTCTACTCTTAAGTCTTTTTTTCTGTTTTATCTAGAACACTTAACCCTTTCAATTGCACCACCAGTTCAATCACTGAAAAATACAGGTGCAGCTGATGATACAGTTTGTAAACCTGTATTTTCAATCATTACTGAAAATGGAGCATAATTGTATAACACAAGTTCATTTTACATGTCCTGGAGAGAATATCTTGTGCTGTCATGTGATAAGAAAGTGACAGTCACAAAACAATTCTGTAGTGTTTGTTGCTACAAATTCAAAGACAATCCACAAACAGCAACCATACTTTTCAATGCAGTGAGTTATAAAAAATATCGCTGCATTGCCAACAGACCATGGAAAATGCTTTAAATGTCTTGTCTCAGTGTTGGCATTTGTGAAGATGTGAATTCCAAAACAGATTTTCTAAAGTTAGTCCTTACAATTTAATAAAGCATAAAGCCCACAGGAAAATAAATTAATAAATAGATCTATCAATACAATATTAGTATTTTCCCAAACATTCAAGTGTTCAAGTCTACAATTCATCCAGTAAACTTCCATAAAAGCATGTAAAGGAATGGAAGGTAAAAGCGTAAAGAACACAAAACGCTACGAGAGTGGCTGTAAGAATATTAACTTACCTAACGTTCAATATTAGACTATTCCTATTATCTAAACACAAAAGTATTTGATTGATAAGATATTCCAACATGAAAACTTAATACAACTCTAATGCTAGAAGAAAGATGTATTGTACCAAGAAATTGGTCTGTAGGAGCAAATGTTGAATTTAGGCCAAGAAAAGAATCAGAGGCTTGCTCTCTCCTTCTGGACATTTCTCCTGTGTCATGATACAGCTTTACAGCAGGGAAGCAAGTACCCAGAAGTTAAACCTCTCAAAATGGCATGCACAGCAGTATGTCCAGCAAGGGTAAAACCTTTTTATTTTATCCTGTGTATAACAAAACTGAACATAGAGCATTTCTGAAGCATATTCCAGAATTAGCCTTCAGATGAATGAACATTTAGGCCACAGGAAAGCTAAATGAGGTAACACTGTTTTGAGTTGCACTGTCATTCAGTGAAGTATACAATTCCATTTCATTATAGAAATGCTAAGGTTTTACAACACGATAGTCTATACTTTCTCCTTGCTTAGCAGTGGTGCTCTTAACCTGTTACTGTTATTACCACCAAAGATATTTTCAAGCAAACTTCAAATTAAAAAATATTAAACATAAAAAAGGACTAAACTCTTACGAGAACCCAAACACTTGCCTGGGATATACTTACAAAGCTTTTAAAGATGTAAAAATGTCATTCAGTCATAATAAACACTTACAATTACCCACTGGTAACTTATGGAGGTTTTACCAGTACAAGTATCATCTATATTTGTACAAAACATAAGGTAAAACTTACATTGGTAATTCTTAATTTCCATTAATTTTGAAACCAGTAATGTTCAATCAGTATAACAACATATAAATCTATCATGAAATAAGGAAGATTCAGAAGATGTTTGTTCCAGACTGAGTCAAGAAAGCTGGATCATATTACCAGGGAGAGAGACACTCGGTGAGTCCTGTAGTAGGTCATCCAAGTTCTCAACTTAAATTCCTAAGGATGTAATTTCTTATGTATGTGTATGCTGCCTTATCACTCTTAAGTAGTCAGCCAGTATAGCAGGAGAAAAATTGCAACTTTTAACGCACCCTCAATGTCTTTAAAAGTCAGGTTTTTGCACCAATTCAAGAACAGACAATCAGCATGCATCATATTTAAGTCTGAGTTATGTTATTAAAAGTATCTGCCTGTAAAAAACTGTAGGCTGGATCTGAAAAATATATTTTCATATATTTGAGGTCTGCAGTCAGTCTTCCACAGCCTGCAATTTTCTTGTGTTTCAGATAGGTAAAGGAGGGTGCTGATGCTGCTTGTTACCATCTCCTATAGACAAAGCTACTGTATTTCATTATTAGGAAACTGTCACATAGGAAGACACAATACCCTAATATGCATAAGAGACTTATAAACTAAACAGCACAGTGTTAATGAGAAGTGTATGAATATATGTAGGTACTTTATCAAGAAATGATAGAGAATTTCTAAATATTTCTTATAGAGAAGTTTCTAACACTGGAGTCATACATGAACTTCACAAACACAGTAAGAAAATTATCACAAGAAATAACAAGATAAGGTTCTCAGCAACAAAAGTTGGTGAATTTGTTTAGTTATTAATAGTTAAGATCACCTGACAGTTCTCATGCCAGCTTACAGGGACACATTAGTGTGGCTGTGAAACCGCAAGACCAGAGAGCACAAGCAGGACGTGGGGAAAGATGTCAACTGTGAATGACCCTAGAAAGACTGCCTACAGAGATTCCAGAGAATGTTAGGGGTTGGAAGGAACCTCTGAAGATCATTGAGTCCAACCTCCCTGCCAGAGCAGGACCAAAAAAACCCAAAACAACAACAAAACAAAAACAAAGAAACATAAACATGACAAACAAACAAAACCCTAGGGCAGATCACTCAGAAAGGCATCCAGGCAGGTCTTGAAAGTCTCCAGAGAAGACTCCAAAACCTCTCTGGTGAGCTTGTTTCAGTGCTCTGTAACCCTCACAGTAAAGGTCTTCCCTATGTTGAGGTGGAACTTCCTTTGCTTGAGTTTGAATCCGTTGCCCCTCGTAGTATCACAGGGCACAAGTGAAAAGAGCTTGTCCCTGCCTTCTTGATGTCCAGCCCTCATGTATTTATAGACATTCATTAGATCCCCCCCTCAGACTTCTCCTCTCTAGACTGAACAGCCCCAGGTTTCTCAGCCTTTCTTCGTAAGGCAGGTGTTCCAGTCCCTTAATCATCCTTGTAGCCTCCACTGGACTCTTCTCCCAAGTAGATCCCTGTCCCACTTGAACTGGGGAGCCCAGAACTGGACACAATACTCCAAGGGAGGTTTCATCAGGGCTGAGTAGAGGGGGAGGAGAACCTCCCTCCATCTGCTGGAGACACTCCTCTTAATGCACCCGAAGATACCATTGGCCTTCTTGGCCACAAGGGCACATTGTTGTCCCATGGATAACTTGTTCTCTACCAGGACTCCAAGGTCCTTCTCCACAGAGCTGCTCTCTAGCAGATCACCTCCTAGCCTGTACTGGTGTGTTTTGTTGTTCCTTCCCAGGTGCAGGAGTCTACACTTGCTCTTGTTGAATCTCATTAGGTTCCTCTTTTCCCAGCTCTCCAGCCTGTCCAAATCTCGCTGAATGGCTGCACAGCTTTCAGGTGTATCAGCCAATCCTCTCAGCTTCGTGTCATCAGCAAACTTGCTGAGAAGACACTCTGTCCCATCATCAAGATCATTAATAAAGACGTTGAACAGGACTGGACCCAGAACTGATCCCCGAGGGACTCCACGAGTTAAATGTCTCCAGCTGGACTCTGCACCACTGACCACCACTCTTTGGGCTCTATTGCATAGCCAGTTCTTAATCCATCTCACTATGCATTCTTTTACCCCATATTTTATGCCATATATTTATCTAGAATCACACAAATTCTGGTAGACAACGACTTACAAGTTCAGAATATGATTTACAAGAAGACAACCTACAGGATGAGAAAGTGTTTTGTTTAATTCTGTCTCTCTATACTTTTAACTCCTGTTAAAGAAGATAGAGCAGGGATCCTGGAGATCATAGAATCACAGCACGATTTGAGTTGGAAGGGACCTTAAAGATCATCTAGTTCAACCCCCTTGGATGGACAGGGACACCTCCCACTAGATCAGGTTGCTCAGGGCACCATCCAGACTGGCCTTAAACACATCAAGGGACAGTGTTTCTATGGCTTCTCTGGGAAACCTGTTCCAGTGTCTCATCACACTCACACTAAAGAATTTCTTCCTAATGTCTAACCTAAATCTCCCCTCTTCCAGTTTTGATCCATTACCTCTTGCCCTCTCACAAGCCTTTGTAAACAGACCCTCCCCAGCTATCCTGTAGGCCCTTCAGGTACTGGAAGACAGCTATGAGGTCCCCCAGGAGCCTTCCCATCTCCCACTGAACAGCCCCAACTCTGTTAAAACACTACAGGCACACAACTCATATTGCTGCATGAAATGAAAGAGGCATCTTGTAATACATCTTACTTCCAGATAAGCAAGCTGCACACAAGCAGGACACATAAATGATGCTTTACTGCAAATATTATTTATGATATTCTTTAATTTCAAAACCTAGACATTTTATACTATTTTCAATATACATTCACTTTGATCCTGCCAAAAAACAGCTGCTTTTATAAGCCAACGCTTACAAATATAAAAATCCTGTTGTATCAGGCACTGACTGGTTATTGTTCCACTTGGAATACTGCTCGTCTTCTTTTAAATAACAAATGCTGATTAGTAGCAATAACAGTCCCCTTCTAATGCACAGGAAGCCCAACACTGTCACTGGTGGCATCAGTATTTCACTACATCTAAGAAAAAACTGCCCTTCTAAAATGAAGCAACATATCAACTAGAGAAAGCATTTGTGGTAAGCGATTTAAAATGTGGTGATGCTGGGTTTTGCTATCTTTCAGATAAAAAAGCAATGTTTTAAAATCAAAATAGAAAGAAGAGTTCACCTTGTCAACATTCCAAATTGGCTTAATATGTGCTGTATTCAACTGAGTTCTGTCAACATAGTTTGAAATTACAGTTTTTCTAAATTAAGCATTCCATTGTTTTTGACCAGCTGCTCACTAAAGACATTTTCTGGTATTGGCCTAAAAAATTTTGAACATGTTGAAAGATTTTAAAGCTGTTCACCCCAAGGCAGGAAGAACAAGCATAATTAATTCATTCTATCATAGTAATATAACTACTACAGATCTAAGCAATAGATTTAATTATTTGTACACGACAGGTAGAGCTGTTTTACATGTTACTGTTTTACATGTTAGAGCTGTTTTACAGCTACTGAAATTCTGCAAAATGGTTCCAGGGAGAAAATTAATATTGCCATAGATTTCTAAGTAAAAGCTTCTTGCAATCAGCCTTCAGATTCTGTTATGCTGAAGCCAAGGAAATCTCACTTTTTTCCACATGAGTTTTTCAGTTTCCTTACCAGCATATGCTATGCTAGCCCACAGTTAATAAAAATACCTCTTATGATAGAAAAAGATATTTTGAATTTCATAGACACTGCCAATTTGAAATCTGTTTTACTAAAAAAAAAATTAAAAAATCAACATATCCACTATTGAATTTCACCTGGTTTAAAGTATCTGCTTATATAGTATATTTACAGTTATGTTTTACATGAAATTTTTAAAATTGCTGCTCTAGGAAATGAGATAACAGAATTTACAAATGCAACATGTAAAAAGTCATAAAAATTAATTATGTGTTAGTGAAGATCAGTCTAAAAGGACAAATGAAAAACAAACAATTGTTTGAACAGTAATCTTCAGGTTTGCTTTTCAGAAGTAAATTAAGTTTTAAAATTGTATTTCAGTTCAAAAAATAATTCAACAAATCAAACAGCTAAATGAAACTGTCCTTTTTCTGTAAAGATATTGACTACCAAGTAGGTTAAGTTCTGCATCCAAACCCCATATTCTGAAGTCAGGGGAAAAAACCCTGGAAGACAGTGGGAGCTTCTAGATCTTTCCAAGATTTTAAACCACTCAGATTCATTCAGTACACAGATTTGTTTCATTTGAAACACTGACTTCCGAGCAATCACAAGAACTCCCACAGCCAAAGCAAAACCTGTTTGTGACTTACAAAAATCTGCAGTCAGTAAGACAGCTCAAACTTACTTGAAAGCCATCACTGCCTTTGCTTCCCAGAGCCAGCTTTGAGGTGGAAAATAATAAAGCCACAATCATACTCTATATGTTCTTAAGTGTAAGCAAAATACAAATTTGTATAGGCTTGCAATTAAGTTTAACCCGAAAATATTAAGGAAACTTTTCCAAAAGTTGCCTGGCTTTTCATCAGTCTAAAGACATTTACTTCATATACAATTTATTATTTTCCTTCAGACAATATCAGTTTTACATCAGACTAAGTAAAGTACATGAAACATTATTCAGTCATTCTACCATCTCTACTCTTTTTTGATTGATTGATTGATTTCCTTCAAGAGGAGAGGAAAAATGAAAAAAAGGCTAAATGTGACCCTAAACTTTCTCCATGTCTGACAGAATTTATTTAAGAACACAGTAAGTCTGGTAATAAACAAGCTGTCAGTGCCAACACACTTTGCTCCTCTTGAGTCAACACAAAAAGTCTCTAGCTCTTCTATCCATTGACTACAGAAGGCAACCAGGGAAGTTACCATAATAAGGCTTAAATTACCATTTGGAATACTGTTGAAGAGCCACACACACTCTCTTCACAAAATCTGACATCTTATTTAGGAAACGTAATTATTTTTGGTTACTAAGTTTAACAACAGACAAACACAAATTATCTCCCAATTTAGGAAGTCCATTAATCTGCTTTGCTCATAAAAGAACTGACAGGGATATCAAACAGCTTACTGGAAGGTGGAATTCTGTTCAGTAACATTTGTTTGGAAGTGACACATGTCTTGTAAATCAAAGTGGAGGTTGGCAGTAACTGTTTGCCACCAAGGATTTGAAGGAACTGGAAAGCAATGTATATCTTGCTATTTGGCATCCCAGAAAATAAGTTCCAAAGCTATTCCCTAAGAGGTTTTGCCAAGACATTATTACGCAAACAAATCAAAAGAAGCAGGGTAGCCTGGCTCAAAGATATTAAAACTAAGAAACACATTTTTCTCTTTACCCTAAGCAAAATTGCCCCGTTAGTTTGGAAGAAAAAGGATCCTCCTCCCCTACATCAGAGCAAGAACTCTGTGCTCCACCAAAATAAGAAATTCTACTCCAAAGTAGCACCACTCTACTATATGGTCCTGTCTCTCTGAACTGCAACTCCATTTCATTCCATCAGCTGGGAAAGAAAAGAAAGCCCAAAGAAAGCCCAATAGTTCTACAGAATCAGACAAAAACAAACCAACCAAAAAACACCAGGCAGTGCTAAGGGTTACAATGTACAAGAAATGCAAGCATTACTTCTTATGTCAAAACAATGTAGAGTGATCTAGAGTGACAGTCCACATCACAATTCTGGAATTGATGAGATACCTATTGTACCAGCAGGAAATCAAATGGTTAGAAGGGAATTATGGCAGACTATAATACTGATTGCACCCATCACTCTCTTAGGAAAGCTAGATGTCCAGATCTTCATTTGAACACTTTTAGATATGCCCTTCAAGCCTGGATCTGAATTCTGAAACATTTAAGCTAATAAGATGGTGATGTTGCATTACTGAAAGCATTTGCTCCTGGCTACTTTTCAGCTAACAGGCACCTTTCTGTGTTGTCAGTGCTGTAGAGAAGGATATTATTTCTTCCTTTTCTTACCATCACTCTCACTGTTTGAGAGCAAGAAAACACTGCCTTACCTAAACAACTGCTTCAGGAGGTCTGTTTAAAAGATTCAGAATAGGAATGTACAGAACAGCTTTCCTGTTCCATCCAGAAAAAAGTGGTTATTTCTGTGGAGGATGAGCCCAGCCATCAAAGGAATTTTAAGGACTGAGAGTTTTTCTGCCTCGAGCTGGCATCTGCTCAGTGCTTAGGTCCACATTATACACCTTGCCATGAGGTGAATCCTCTCAATTCATGTCAGCTGGCAGATACTTTGTGACTTCAGAACATACTATGCCATAGCAAATAAGCAAAGATTTATTCTGATTTGATTTAGTATCTGACTTTACTCACAGAATTAGTTCCAAGAACTTGCAGCTTTGGTTCGCCTGATTCCAGGAGCTTGGCCACCATATGTAGGAAACTTTCCACAAATGGTTTTATGCTTTGAGAATGGCAAGCCATCAGAAGTTGATCCAATGCCTCCATGGCAATTAAAACGTACCTGAAAATTAGAGGCACTCACATAAACACATGCTACAGTTATCATTACCTCAGTTAATTTAATTAAGGTACCTATTACTACAAAAAACAGAAAACAAAGGCTGGAATATATACATTCTTACATTACCTAAAAAAGGAAGTTATTGTTATTTCCTAAATTCATCTTTATTTCATTTGTGGTTTTGTTGCGGTTTGTTGTTTGTTGGGGTTTTTCTGAGGGTGGGGAATGGGAAGGGGAATACATTATTTTTAGAAGAGATGTCATAATGTTTAGTAGCAGAGTAAATGTAATTCAATTTTCTTTTCTAGCACATTCTATTTCCAAATACATATTCCAGCATTCTAGTCTACAGCTCCTCTGTTTATCCACATCCTAGTACAGAAAGCCAACAACTTCTTCATTCTCTTGCACACTCAGACAACTTGCTAAGTAAATGAAAAAGTGTAAATAAATGCAGTGAATAAAATTAATTACCCTCAAGAATGGCCATTAACCCATTCTATAAAGTTATAGAAATAGCTTTTGACATCATAAAGGCCAAAAACTATTGCCTGTGACTGATATTGCCACTTTCTTACTCTATTTCCATAGGCTTTAAAATCTTCTCCCTCTTTGGACTCTACATTCTTTCAAATTTTTAGCTCAAATAGGACTTAAGAGCAAGACAGAGTTTTAAAGTTCACATTTAAATATAATTTAGCCAAAAGGGTTGAAATGAAAGGTAGCCACACTTCCCAATACCCTGAGTGACATTCAAAGGTGTACTGGATTTACATAGCATGGTCTTGGTAGCAGGCGGGCTGCAGGAGTGGCTTCTGTGAGAAGACACTAGGAAATGACTGTGACACCATCTCCAGTCCCCCTGTGCTGCTAAGTAGGAGGAGTTAAAGGATTCAGGAATAAATTTGAGCATGGGAAGAATGGGGGTGGGGGAGCTTTGTTTTTATTTCTCACTCACCAGGGCTCCCACCTCATTCCTCAATGGAAGATCAACATCAGGAAGAAATTCTTCACCATGAGGGTAAGGTGCTGCAAGAGGCTGCCTAGGGAGGTTGTTGATGCCCCCTCCCTGGAGATGTTAAAGGCCAGTTTGGATGAGGCTTGTGTGGCCTGGTCTGGTGTGAGGTGTCCCTGCTCATAACAGGGAAGTTGGAACCTGATGATCTTTAAGGTGTATGCCAACCTTAACCATTCTATGATTCTAAGTTGAGTGGGTTTTGCCCATTATAGTAACTGATGAATGATTTCCCTTTTCTTACCTCCACCCACCCGCTTGTCCATCTTAGTTGCTCCTCCTGTCCTGCTAAGGAGGAGGAGTGAGAGAGCTGCTTAGTGGGCAGGTGGAAGTCAATCAAGGTTAACTCACCACAAAGTGTGGTCTTTACTTCCTAAAAGGGTCTGTCTTACTTCCTAAATGCAATGAGAACAAATACAATGAAATGCAGCTGTTAGCACCTATTTTTAATGCTGTAACTTGTTTTCTTACCCGTAGCGATGCCTGACAACATCTCTGCTCAGTCTCTCTGCCAGGTAAGCACCAATTCGATCCAGCTTTTCTGGTGCTGAAACGGCATAGAAAGTCAGCTTCTCCATATCAGCTTTAACAAGACCATCCTAAAAACAAACAGAGAAAATATGAAATAAAAATGTTCATAGAAAGTATGAAGTATAGAAAGTTTTTGAAGTGCTTTTCCTTTTGTCTACTCAACATTTAGAGACCTGAGCCATACAGATGGGAATAAGTTACTGGAAAAAAAAATGCATTTTTAGTTGCAAAATCAGCAACATAACAATTAAAGTAAAATATTTTCATAGAAATGAAACAACTCTCTTTCCCCATCTTTTCTTGGGTTGGGGAGGGGAAACAGGTATTCCAAAATAAAGTATTTAGTGATATATCTTATCAGTTTTAAGACACTTCTTCCCTACTGATACAATGTAATTTTTTTTCTTTTCCCTTTACTCCCATTCCCCAAAGTGTATTTGATCCATAATTTTGATGCTATATCCAAGTAAGATGGTATTTTAAAGACTGTATTTCTTCAGCTTTACATCCTGGACAAGGCCAACACACAGGGTATTTCCAGGATAATTGCTAAAAAAAGATCAAATATTATTACATTAGTTCCAATGTGAACTGTGATAAGGATCTCCTCAGGTGAGATATAATTCAAACTATCAGGTGAGAATGATCAAGCTTTCTGTCTTCTCTCTTTCTTTTTACAAAAATATCTTTTTCAAGTAAGTTACTTGGAATATACCCATTATTAATTAATGCAATTTATCAAGCAAGTCTTCTTTAGAGAAAGCCTGCAACTCAGCAAAACACCATGAACTTGACTTGTGTCATGCACTGAGCCAATGAATATTAATAAAAGCAGAGACTAACATGTGCCAACTCAGAGCTACTGAGTAAAATTAAAGCTGTCAGACTACAAGTGTAGGAATTCTGAGTGTTTCTACACCTGTATCAAACCAGTAGATTAAAATAAAGAAATTTACAAAACCATATGTTCCATGCTTTCAGCATACTGTATAGACAGAAAGCACTTTTTTAACCTAGTAACATGCATTTATATAATAATTAGAACTCAGTAACATTGTATTTTAAAGGAAAGCACATATACTTTATAAGATATAAGCCAAACGTTATACAAATGCTGAATGCTAACTGGTTTACTTAGTTCTGCTATAATAAAAGATAACAAAGCCTGATGACACATTTTAAAAAATACAGCAGCAGAAATACATGCTCTCAATTACTCTGAACCACCATGTGATTCTGTACAGATACAGGCAATGCTAAATGGTGACACAAGTTATTTATGTTCACTGAGAGTAAGAGCAGAGGTCTAATATAGCTCCAAGATTGTTCTAGTGAAATGAGAAATCAGTGTATGAATAACTGGAGAAATTAAAAATCAACAACAATAAATCACCTCTTTGGATCACAGTAACTTACACAGTCAATACCTCACTAATTAGAAAATTAAAATATTGTAGAAAACCAGAAAACATCCACACCTGCAAACATAACAAAAAGTGTTTGTGGCTCTAAGTAGTCAGTACAGCCTACTTAATTAAATCTGCTTCTCTGAAACATAGCAAATACACTCCTCAATATGCACAGCCTTGCTTTGAAAAGGAAATTAGATCAGATCTCCCTTTTCAGCTAAATTATTCTGCTAACCTCTATTAAAGCTATAAAAAGCTAAGGCAGGATTTATTGTAAACTGTTAAAATAGAAAATACAAAAATAAATAATACTAAACAAATAAATAAATAAATAATCCTATTGTTAAAACATAAGTTGCTAACAAACAAATTTCAACTGCCAAACTCTTAAAATGTTAAAAGGCATCACTCACTTTTGGATCTTCAGGGAAGATGTTATCTACCAGCCGCTTGTAGCGAGGGCGCAAAGCAGCACAGCAACAGCACACTCCTGCAGAGAGATTTACCCAAAGGAATTCAGAGTTAAGTTTTAGGAACTCTGGTATTTTTATTGGAAGTGACTAGCAGGCAAGCAAGGAGAAAAAAGATAGAGAATTCAGCTGCTCCTTACTATCAGCAGAAAAGCAAAATTAAGGTAATTGAAAATAACTGAGAAGTCAAATAAGTAAAACTATTGTTATAATGTAATACAGGTGAAAATATGCAAGGATCTTGGGTACTAAAAATGTACCTGTCATCCAGCTGTACTTAAAAAGAGGCAGAAAAATAAAAATGGAAAAAAAATTAAAATTAGTAATGTTAAAACCAAGGCAACTTCACTGGCTGCTTTATCTTCATTCTGAATGATCATTTCAAAACCTAACTAAACATCCATTAACCTCACTCTTCTACAAAAAAGTCAACTGTGTCATCGTCTGCTTTACAGGTACCTACATAAAGCAATATAAAATAAAATCTGCAAAAGAGCTCTCCCTTCATTATCCCATTATATTACTGGGCATCAGACAAAAGAGTCACCTGAAGTGGAGAAATAAATTTTCCTGATCTCATTGTTCTCTATTACTAATACTGTACTCAGGCAAAGATAATTAGAACAAGACATGTAACTTGCACTTTCATTAATTTAAAAAAGAGGCATAATGCCTGCTTTAAAATGATAGAAAATCACAAAGTATGCCTTGTTTTTTTTTATAGAACTCAGGACTAACTGAAGCAGTTTATATTTAAAAAGTAGGACTTGAAGTAAAAACTTAGCACAAAAGGAAAGAAGACATTTTAGATATCTGTCCAACTGTTTTATCAGTGCAGATTTATTCCCAAGAAATTTCACTGTTTTGACAAATCAGATTAGAAATTTTTCAGTGGACTAACCCACTGATGAGGTCTCAGATAACATTAAAGTAGCTCTGATGCAAAAGAGCCAGTAGATAATAATACGCTGAATAATAACATACCAAGCGTGGATGAAGATCAGTGGTTTTTTGGTCTCTGAAATCTCAATACCTAGAGCATTCAGAGTATGTAAACACCTTACAAATTCTACTCATTGTCTGACAACTTAATTCTTGCAAGTTGTTTAATTGAAAACAATTCTCAAAAAAAACCAACAAAAAAACACATTTTAAGTTCTCCTACCTGTTTTTTTAACTCAGTTCATTAATTATGGAGTCATATATCACAGACTTACAACTTCAATACATAACTATGGAAACAAAACACACTCAATAGATTAAAAACCTGCTTGAGTTGAATTGTAAAGAATTAGGACAGTTGTAGAAAAATGTTCTATTGAGAGCAATGTTGTGTTCTCCTTTTACAAGTAAAATCGTAGGAAAAGAGGACTTCATTACTGTCCAGTGTATCACTCAGTATTGGGGAATTCAAGTAAGATCATCAAAATTCTCCAAAACCAGACCTAAAATTGTCAAATATTTCTCAAGTTAGCAATGCAGCTCTGCATGGTGCTCAACATCCTCTGTACTTGTGTTTTCCTATTTGATTTTTTACCTTATGGATCTCTAACATTGACCCAGAGTAAATAGTATGTTTTGTTATTACTATGTGTAACAAAATATTCTGACAACAGCTGTAATAAAGCATTTTGCTACAGTTATCTAAAACATAACAAGAACAGAAAATATTGCATGCAAGACAGAGGAAATGAAAAATACTTGAGTTAGTTTTCCTTTCTTTAAGTGACAGAAGAAGAAAATCCTTGCAAAGAACAGTAATTTAAATCTTCAAAAGGTGTTTAAGAACCATGTTAATTGCATAAATTTAACATAAAACCTGGATACAGTCAGTCCTTTGAGAAGGATAAAAATATCAAATATCAGTACCATCTCATTCTGTCAGCTTTACCAGACGGTTTCAGTTAATGGAATCTCAATAATGTTCAAATACTGCTTTTTAAAAGTATGTCACACTGTGAATTTTGACATTTAAAAGGCCTCACAATAAGTAAATTGCATAAGATTTGAAAATTTTCTCTTGTCCCTATCCTGGATTTTCAGTAGTATCCTTACACTGCTACATATTTAACTATAGCACAGTTTACATGGGAAAAAAGAAAACTAACTCAAACTTTTCAAAGAACTCTTTATGATAAAAATGTAACACTAAAATTAATATAAAGAGAATAAAATACGGTAATTAAAAGAACTTCCTAAATTAGCCAAAACATCCAAGTATAAGAAACTGAGTTATTCTATCCAAGCTTTCAGCTTCCAAAGATATTTTCAATAGAGAAATTTAAGTAGAACATCATCAGGAAAAAAAAAAATTAAGGGGCAGGCTCTGCAAAGAACACGGAAACAAACAAAAAAAAGAAAAAACAAAACAAAACAAAAACAAAAGCAAACTTCAAAACAATTATCAGTCAGGAAACAGGTTTTATGGGAAAATTATTTATCATCAGTGTTTTCATGTAACTTGGGAATAAAACATAGGAATAATAAAAACATAGGAATAGGTTTCTAAAAATGTATTTAAAAAATCACAAATATCAATTTGTAACAACATATATTAAAATATATTAATATTTAACATAGATTGCACCCAAAGAAAATCACCAAAATCTAGAAACATTCACTATGTAGACCAGAAAAGATGAACGTTGTAGAAGATGGACAGAGGCTGAAAAATTGAAAACAGATTCTCTACTTCTTGGGTTCAAATTTAACCCATGTAACAGTTGATCCATAAAAACCACATTTGTTTCATGCAAATCAGCTGCTTTGTATGTCTACAGAATGCAGTCACTAAACCAGATAAAAAGAACCTGTTCATTTCATGCAGGTTTATCTACAAAACATCCTACTATAATTCCCTTTCAGTGTCAGGCAAAATTTGCATCTTAATGGTCTCACCCTTAAGAAATTTTTATGTCACTTCATACAAATAAATATAAGGGTTAAAGCAGTACCTGCAAAGAAGTTTGTACTGTCACATGGTAGTAAACAGGTTTACAAAATAATGTTTACTTCTCCAATAATGGAACTTTCTAAGACTAAACATGCATGCTTACTTCTGCTAAAGGAGTCCTGTAATCTGCATTTTACACCTTAAGATTGTATATACCTACCAGCTGCCTGGGTACTTCTTTTTACATGCACGTATTCTACACAATAGCATTAAGAAGAAACAGTCCTTGGTATCAGAAAACAGTATTTTCACCTACCCAAACACATACATGGTCTTGGTTCAAAAGCAGTATTATAATCATAAGCTTTTTCTTGCTCAACAGTTGGAACTGGAACATACTGTCTCATCCTGGGTATGATTTCCCTCCCCGGGTACTCCCTCCTTTCCCAGAGCTTTGCTCTCTCAGGCCAGCACAGGAGCAGTCCCTTCCCGCGAGAGCTCTGCAATACTGTAACCTTATCTGATCAGCTCTGACACTTCCACACAAAGCCACCAAACAGATGAAAAACTTCAGTATCAAATTCAGTTAACAAGGCCAGGCACAAGGCAAGAGAAAAGAGTAAATGATACCTCATCAATGTGTAATTCACAGCTTATCAAACAAAACTGCACAAAGCCAGTTTTATTACTTCACATCCCCAGAACACATAGTTAATTATTTCTGTGACTAGAAGCAAAACATCAGTATTGTTTCAGAAAAAACTGTGTCCAGTCAGCTGCCACATATCACTGCAGAGTGACACACATTTCAGCAAAACACTCACCTGATCTTGCTAAAGAATGGCCAGGAAAATATTATTTAAGGCAGACTGCTGACCAGAAAGTCTTGTTAAACAGAAGGGTTTATCTCTAAGATTAGAGAAGCACTTTAAAAATTAGTAAGTTAAGGACATTAACATTATCTCTAATAATACTTCAGAATTTAAGAAGCAGTGATGACAGAACTTAAATCCTTAATATCCTTGCTCACAAAGTTTATGATCCATCAGGTCAAAAAGCAACTTTGAGTTAAGCAATTCTGAAGTTACTTTCTGGCTTCCCATTGCTTCTCATCACTGCACTATTTTACTTCCTACATTACATACTCTTGGATTGTGGATGTACTGCTCTACATCCACAGGGTTTTCATATATGTATTTTTATAAACCCTAGTAATTGTAAGGTGTTGATTTTAATAAAATCACAACTAATAATTTCTACTAAATAACGATTCCATATCAATTCTAGACTTAAAAAGACTAGTGCTAATAAACCAGTGTTTACTGCAAGTAAATTCAGAGAAAACACTGAGCTGCATAGAAACTGTCACCACAGAGCTTAATAAAGAAACCCTATGGAGTGAATTAGAAATATTCACATTACAAGGTTTATTTCAAGTGAGTTTGAATATTAACTGCTACATCTTACTCATACAACATTACAGAAAAACAAAACCTTCTAGCTGCCTTTAAACATGAAATACTAAGTTCTGTCCATCAAGTTTAAAACTGCCAAATTATTTTCCCCTCTATCAGAGCCTAGCAAAACAGAAAACAAATGGATTGTATTACTTATCTGATGCTAGCAATTCTTCCAACATTTTGTATTGCTGTCTAATATTGTTATCAATTGTTTGCTAAACATTAACAACCTAAACCAAGATTTCATGTTCACTCACTGAATAATTTTGTTATGTCCCAACCTTGGATCTGGTTGTCTGTATCTTTACTGCCTAGATTCCAAGATTTAAAAATAAAATAAAATAACACATTATATATTAAAAAAAAGAGTATCATTAACATAACGTTTGAATCAGCAGATGAATGCATGTTTTGTTCACATCAAGAAACTGAGCAATATTAAAATTACATTTGGTCACTCAGCGTTCTTAAATATAACTATGTAACATTGTGTCCTTTTATACATAAAACCTTCTTTTTATTTTTTTTTCCTATATCTGAGAAATACAAACAAAAATAAATTAGTTTCAAATGTCTAGAGGAAAGTGCATAAAATAACACTTCTACCACTACACTAACTATACCGGGTTAGTTTTGAACTGTCCTTATCAGTTGATGCATTTAATTGAGAACTAAAACTATTTTCAAGGGCATTCCCCTTCCGCTATTAAAAACAGAACAAGTATTTTAAAACAAGGAAATTATTCTGGCCATATAAGGGAGTTAATTAAAACTACTATTTAGACTGCTATAAAAAGAACAACTGCTGTAAGAATGTGTTCATCAGCCATTGCAATGTCCCTGTAAAGCAGTCCCAGAGAGTGCAGAGGACTCTTCACTTGCACAGGACCAAATCCCATCCCCCAGATCAGCCTCTTCTCTCCTCCACCTCCCACCCTGGTGCTATTTGACATCTAAACAGCTGAATTTTAGCCTCTCTCCATGGAAACGCAGCAAAGAAAATGTCCAACATGCAGATGAAATTTCTGTCTTGAGAACACCCTATTCATTTGTCATTTTCTGACACCCGTGACAGCAAAAGCTCAGTACCAGTCGATGTGAAAAATTCCATCCACTACCTACGTTTGGAAATTTTACATTTATTTTTAAAAATATGCTGGTGCCCAGGTAATTTGAAACAAATAATAACTAAAAAAAAAAAAAAAAAAAAGTCTCTCCCCAGAACATATTCTTACAGTCAAGCTGTAAAGTTAATTATAAAGCTAATTCTGGTAAGATATGACTTTAAGGTGTGTTCTTCTACACTTAAATCAACATGGAGAGATGCACAGCATGATACAGTGAAAAGCATGCAAAACCAATTTGCATATACGCTTTTCGTAAAATGGGAAATGACAATGAATGTCAGGCTAGGAGTAAGAAGTAGGAAAAAAACCCCACCACAACCGAGTCAAATAAGGCTTGCCACTCAGCTTCTTCAATGAAGTATTCTTTCCAGAACCATTAGCAATTAAAACAAATCCCCAGGGAAGATATTATCTTTGGGACATGCCTTTTAAAGACTTCTAATTCATTAAAAGGAAGTTTTCCATTACATCAAGTTCTCCAGTTGCATCCTTTTTCACAAGTTCACCACCCGCAGTGTTTCCATACTGTCTCTTCTTTCTCCCACCTTTGTTGTTTTCACAGACTAACTTTGTTTTACTTGCTCATTTCTGTTCTTTTCCACACCGCCTCCTCCTTCCCTACTCTGAGATAGTACCAGCACTCTATTTTTAATACAGCATTAAGAATATCCAAAATTAATCTGGTTCCAGTGAAAGAAGATCTTTATCTTATTATGAATTTTGCTTCTTAGTTCTTGTCCTTATTTATATTCCTATTAAGCTGGTCATAACAAGGTCACTTACTTCTCATCACTAAAGCAATACAGAAAGGAAATTTTGTCACTCTGACTTCAGAAAACACCTGGACATCTACATAAATTTCTCTCTTCATCACAGCTGGTACATATAACCTGTTCATATTAAAAAAAAAATGGGTAAAATCCAACTTTCATTCCTGTGTTCAATATTGTCAGGAAATTATTTTTTAGGTGGTAAATGCAGAGAAGGAAAAAGTAGCAGAGCATGCAGCACATGCTCACTATTTAGCACAAATACTCTGATCCCTGTCTCCCTGACCAAATGCCTGGCTCCTCCTCAGGTGAACAGAGTCTCCCCAGCCCAGCAATGATTCTGACACAGAAGTAAACTCCCAGTACTATCATGTTCAAAGCCTGGGTCAATCTTGGCCCAAACCTATTCTCTAACTTAGATGAGCAATATTCAGAATACTGTGTCCTTGAACACCTCACAGCTGCAGAAGACAGCTGCAGGTAAGTGCACTGTAACCTCTGTAGGCACTCAAAGGCCAACTACTTCTCCTACCACCTATTTCTTTGTTGCAGGTAGGGAGCAACATCTCACATGGAAGACCATTCTACAGAAGATGCTACAGCATCAAGAAGTTTTCAGATTATTGCTACTTTCCCAGTTTTCTCAAGATGATGCAGCTTGTTTCCTTGACCTAGTCAACAGGGGAGGAGCACAACTGCAGTGGTATGAACTCCCAGAATGTTATGCTGCTGCCCATCTTTTCCACACTAAAGAGGATGCTCAGAACAGCTGTAGAGATGTCTTCATCATACACATCCTATGACTGTATCTAAGCAGGCACAATTGTCTTGCTGGAGACATTCCAAACATGCCTGGACACGTTCCTGTGTCATGTGCTCTAGGGTGATCCTGCTCTGGCAGGGGGGTTGGACTAGATCTTTCGAGGTCACTTCCAACCCCTAAGATTCTGTGATTAAACTCTTGACTCCTGCCCTATGGTGCCTTGCAGAACACATTGCTCAAATGCACAGTGCTGAAGGAGATCTGGCAGTAGATATCACATTGTCACATGTATTGCATCATGAAGAACAGTAAAACATGAGAAGCTTTCTGTGAGTAAAGACAATGCGCACATCATGTTTAAAAGTCCTGAAGAGGAGGAAGTAAAAGTTCACAGGTTGTCATTCTGGAAGCCTCAAAGCTAATGCTGTTTGAAGGGTTTGCCCAGCGAACTAGATTTTAACCTGGTCTAGTGCAAAGTGCCCCTGCTCACACAGGGGGCTGGAACTAGATGATCTTTCAGGTCCCTTCCAATCCAAATCATTCTGTGATCCTCTATTTCCTTACATATTAACAGCTTCACAAAGCATCAGGAAGCAGTACTGCTTTAGGATAATGATATAGCTAAAAGTTAGGTTGAAATTCCTTACTCATTCTCACACTAAAGAATGAGTAAGCATTCTCAAGCCACAATTAAAGACTCTGGCTTCTCATTTCATGCCAAAGTACACACCTTAATCAGAAAAATACTGTAACATGCCAAGGTACAATTCAGAATTACAGTTTTGCTCCTCTCGAAAAATGAAAGACCTGAAACCTTTAACTGATCTCAAGTCGGAAATGAAAACACGAGTTATACAGGTGACAACTATTTTTTTAAATCCTGGAATTCTAGAATTTTACTCGGATTTACATAGTAAATGTAAAACTATTTTTTAAAAGCCACTGAATTTAGAAAGAACTAAAAAAAAAAATGTTTATTTGAAATAAAATATTTACCTTTTATCACAAAATTGTCAGGGATATTGCAAATATTAATTCTTACTGCCATGTTTCTACTTAAGAAAAACAAATCAGTATTTGCAAGAACCCAAAGTTCTTAAACACAAAAGACAAGGACTTCAGCAGCATTGATTTCATGAGCCCAGTTACTTGCACATGTAAATTATCAAAGGCTAGGAAACAATTCAGACTACTGCAATATTCAGTGTACACAAATGCATTTACTGATTTACACATCTGCTCAAGGAAACGGCAAGTCCTACATAAATAGATATAACTAATTCACTTTTTATATTTTGTACTTAGGCAAATTAAGACGTTTCCTAGTTCACCAGTGACCTGCTAGTCCAGAGATTCTTAAATATACCTCTGCAAGGCAAGGATTTGATAATTGTTTTAACTTCTGAAAGGTAAAACAATGATGGCATATCCCTTATGTTAGAAAACTTCGTATTGACCTCTACTTGGATACCAAAAGTCTTGTATTCTTTGAGCTAGCTGGGTTACCAGTAAGAGTCACAGGTCACTTCCTTGAACACACCAGCTACAAACAGAATTTGCTAGTATACTTCACAGAAATGAACTCCAGAATGTGGAATTAAGCAGAACTTTGGCTGTTCAGCTAAGCATCACCAAAATAACAAGTTACATCTTGAATGTTGTAACTTATTAGAAATTAAATAGCACTCTTTGAAAGCCAAGAGTCATGTACATCACTGACTTCCACCTTCACCAATTCATGAGGTACCCTATTCTCTAGAGAACAACTGGGGATCCTAGTGGTAAATGACAGGAAAGAAAGTCCATAGAACATGTAGTGATGGCCAAAACATTTTTTAAAGCAGTTTACCCACGCCTTTCCACAGACATGCATTTAATCACACAGCAGAACACTCAACCCCCCTCCCAAAAATCTTTCTTTGTTGTCATGCATAAAATATAGGACACTTGCATGCATAGCCAGCATGAGCCTTCTTACCCTTTCGTCCCATGATTGAGAAATCAATAGCAAACAATTCTGCACATGAAGGTTAATCGACTGATAGGAAAGCCAGTTGTAAAGTGATTTCTGTAAATAACAACGATAGCTGAATTTTAATAAAACCTGAAAAAACTACTAAGCTACATGATAACATTCAGTGAACTGTCCATGTATAACTTAAAAGCACATAAAGGCTTTGATGGGGACAGAATGAAATTCATGGGTAAAGTGTGTGATTTCCTATGTTATATGCCCAGATTGTGCACACACCAATGACAACAGCTGAAAAAATCAATTCTTCAGGTTTTAAGAAGGAATGGATGAGACAAGATTTTTTGTTTCTTGGCTATACCAAAGTGTGTTCCAAAACAAATGGAAGGACATTGATGATGTTACTGGACGTTATTTGCAGTCTGTTAAATACAAATTATTTTCACCTTCTATGGAGCTGCTCTTAATACTAATTTTCCCAAATGGGGCTAGGATAATGCGCACATAGAGAGAATCAAGAGCTGACAGAAAAAAAAAACAAAAACAACAAACAAACACCAAAATGAACACTGCTTCAAAATTAAGTCTTTTTAATCAAATCACAGAATCATAAATGATTAAGGTTGGAAGGGTTCTTAAAGATTCTCGTTCCAACCGCCCTGCCATGAACAGGGACACCCCACACTAGACCAGGCTGCACAAAGCCTCATCCAACCTGGCCTTAAACACCTCCAGGGAGGGGGCTTCCACAACCTCCCTGGGCAACCAGTTACAGTGTCTTACTACCCTCATGGTGAAGAATTTCTTCCTGATGTCTAACCTAAATCTCCCCTCCTTTAAATTAAAACCATTACCCTTTGTTCTGTCGCTGCCCTCTTTGCTGAAAAGCCCCTCCCCAGCCTTCCTGTAGCATCTTCAGGTACTGGAAGGTGCTAAAAGGTGTCCCCAGAGCCTTCTCTTCTACAGGCTGAACAGCCCCAACATCTATGGAGCTGCTCTTAATACTAATTTTCCCAAATGGGGCTAGGATAATGCGCACATAGAGAGAATCAAGAGCTGACAGAAAAAAAAAACAAAAACAACAAACAAACACCAAAATGAACACTGCTTCAAAATTAAGTCTTTTTAATCAAATCACAGAATCATAAATGATTAAGGTTGGAAGGGTTCTTAAAGATTCTCGTTCCAACCGCCCTGCCATGAACAGGGACACCCCACACTAGACCAGGCTGCACAAAGCCTCATCCAACCTGGCCTTAAACACCTCCAGGGAGGGGGCTTCCACAACCTCCCTGGGCAACCAGTTACAGTGTCTTACTACCCTCATGGTGAAGAATTTCTTCCTGATGTCTAACCTAAATCTCCCCTCCTTTAAATTAAAACCATTACCCTTTGTTCTGTCGCTGCCCTCTTTGCTGAAAAGCCCCTCCCCAGCCTTCCTGTAGCATCTTCAGGTACTGGAAGGTGCTAAAAGGTGTCCCCAGAGCCTTCTCTTCTACAGGCTGAACAGCCCCAACACTCTTAGTCTGTCTTCATAGCAGAGGTGCTCTTAAAGAAATCTATGCAGGTTAGGTTAGTAGGTGAAAGACAGACCCAATAACAGGACTGCTTCTCATCCTAGACATGGTACTGGATTTGGTACTAGACTCAAGCAGCAATGATTTCAGATACTCTTCCATGTAATTCTTCTGTAGTAACCAAACTATTAAAATCTTACAGGATTATAATGTATGTATTTTAATGTTGTTCTAACCAGTCATCAATACTGCAAGAAAACTAATAGGGTTTCTACTGCCTGTAAAATAATTATAAAAAAATATTATTTAAGTGGAAGGTCCCATTTAGGGTTTTAAAAACATCAAGGGCACATAGGAAGCATCCTCCAGATGAGGAAAAAAGTATGTTAGATAGAAGAGTGAAAATGTAATTAGTTATAACTATGGCTTAATTTTCACTAAACACATTAGAATGCTTAGCCCATGAAATATTTATATAGACAGATTTAGGAATGCATCTCCAGCCACCATGGGTATTTTAGAACTGTATTTCACAGAGAAATATATCTTCCTTTCTCTTTAACAATCTTGTTATTACTTAATTATTATATACAGAGAAAAGTAGAATTGCAAAAGACAAATAACTTCTCAAAGGGAAGAGGGAAGTAACCCAAAATGAGATTTTCAATCTACTAAAACAGGTTAAGAGCATTAAATATGAGTTACAATTTCTTTAATTTCAAATTCCATTTCAAACACTGTTTTCATCTCATCACTTAGCAAGGAAGTGCTATTGAAAGAGAAAACTCTAATTTTAAGTTTGTTGGGTTGGGTTTTTTGGTTTGTTTGTGAAAGGGCCGGTAGGTTGTTTCATGTCATGTAAAGACTGTGAAGCAACTGAACTGAAAGCAGTAATATTGAAGACAAATACTATCACTGTTCAATTGTGCTACCTTTAATTTCATCTCTCAGCAAACTAGAGAAGCCAACAGATCCACTGCAGACTATGTCTCTGCAAAGACAACTGGCAGAAAGCCATTTAGTGTCTGGGAAGCTAAGGAAACAAAATGTTATTTAGTTTAATGAGAAGGAATCAATGCATCAAGCACACTTGGAGCAGCATTCAGTAGTTACCAACACAGTCACCTCACTGTAACCAAGAACAGGTCACATCATGGAAGATTTTCCACCTAATTGATACATGTATCTCTTAAATTTGACAGAATAGCACAGCGGATGTTCATATTGCTAAATTTCACAGCAGAAATTCAAGGGAAGATTGTGGGAAAATCACATTTGCCAAAATCCTTATTTGTATTTATTTGCTCTCTTCATTTGCAAGGTGCAGTCAGTCATACAAGAACCTGCTAATCAGCTGCTAAAATCAGTTTAATGTAATAATAATTGTTAATAAAACCTTGAAAAGCAAAGATATAATTATGTTATCAGCATAAGTAAAAACAAGGGAAAAGAACAAGGAAGGTAAAAAGAAAAAAAAAATCACACACATGGCTATCACAAGTAAAATACATTCTTATAGTCAGTAGGTGTTCTCACCTGTATCAAATAATTTTTCTAGTCCAAGCAATTTCATTTTAGTATAAAATCTGCCTTTAAATTAAATATTGAATGAAAATGAGAGAATACAGCCAGTAAGTAGGTTAGCTGTTTCTGAAAAAAATCTCATAATCTACCAAGCTGTGTTTCAAGGATCTGATTAAGTGTGAATATCTGGAACATAATGTCCAAAGAGAAAAGTCTTAAATATTTTGTTACATGACTTGGCTACACTTTTTTCCTTAAGCATTCATAATGCTTCTATCCAAATGAGGCCAAAAAAAATCCCTACCAAAACCACCCATGTTGCATAACAGAAGTATGTAAATGAAATTATATGCATAAATTACTGAATAGGGAAATTGAGACCAAATTTGTGACAAATGAAAAACACGTACTGCCTATACTAAAAAGGTTATCTGGTCACAAGTTCTTTGGTTTACTTTTAAGTAAAAGGACTAATTCATCTTTTAATCTACAGAATCTTTGTGACAAGGCACAGTTAAATCTGTTAATAAAACAGCTGTGGCTCACATCAACCAAATCCTACTTGATTACAACAGCAGTATGAAAACACATTTGCTTTCTCAACATTTCAGAACCTGTATTTCAACTTTAGATGAGGAGACCACGTTTGAAAGCATATCTTGCATCAATGCCTGTGTTATTTGCACAAGAGGAGCTATAAAGTTATAGCTGCAAAGAATACAAAGAAAAGCAATCCTTTGGCAAGGTTGCAAACAAGTGCTGCAGCAATTACCTAGTCAATATAATAGCCATGCCACAGCTAGTGAAAAACAAACACATCTTAAAAAAGCAGACTGAAAAGCTTCTATTTATGGGCTGTATTGAGACTAAAACCTTAACATTATTTCATTAAGGGCTCAATGCAGCACTATATCCCCATATTCTTAAATGGGACAACTAAACAGCAACATCAATAGAAAATGTGTTAATGGAATAGGTAACAACTGCAGAGACCAGCAGACATGACAGAAACGAGGTTGAATAAGAAGAACATTACCTTTGGTTAACTGCCTGTATTTATTTCTCTCTCCCAATACCACATTCCAGTTCTGACTACATGCCTATTTTTTAAACACTTAATGTTGAGGCAAACGAAAAGTATACTGTTCCGTGAACATTTCATATGCAACACTTCAAGACTGACTTCTAAAGTGTCTCTAGAACAGCCAAAGTCCCCAGAAAGACTTACTAAATCTTGTCCAGTCTTTCCATAATACCAGTATCCTGGCCTCTCCTGACCTTCCAAACCACCACTTTTAGACCTAGACATTCCCAGCTACTGTGGTGCAAAAAAAAGGAGTAAAAATATTACCAGGAACTGAGGCTCAGGAAAGCAAGCAGGACAATGCTTCCAGTGGTGAGTCAGTATGACCTGAGAACTCCATCAAGCTGTCCTTTTAACTGGACAGTTATACTACTTCATTTATAGATAACTTCTTCTAGCATGAAAAAAAAAAATAATAATTAAAATTTTGGAAAATATTTCACTGTAACAGCCTTTTCTACACTTTATTGCAGAAGATGCTCAACACACTCAATGTGTGGAATGACAGAATGCTATGTGAAAAAAAAAATAATTAAAAAAAAATCTCAGCCTTTACAAACAACTGAGCTTTTCAGATTTCATGGAGAAATACTTTTTTCAAAGCAATATTAAATAGGAGCAACCGGTTTCACTAATATGCTCTGAAAAGTATCCTGTGGAATCTCTACAGAATCCTAAGTCAGTGGGCAGATTTCCCTTCCACACACAACAAAGCTGAAGTCTTAAAGGCTGTCTCTATGCACACTGAAAAAAGCACAACCAGCCACAAAGCCATGCTTGCTTGCATTAAAATCTAACCATACTTCTTACTTACCACAAATTTTGGAAAGAAAATATTAGGAAATCACTGGCATTTTGTAATAATTGAAGTACACTCTTCAGCTTGGAGAAGAG